TATATATATATATATATATATATATATATATATATATATATATATATATATATATATATATATATATATATATATATATATATATATATATATACAGTGTGTGTGTGTGTGTGTGTGTGAGGGTGTGTGTGTGTGTGTGATCAAACGTTCATATCTTGGTTTAAATTCAATATGTTAAGAAATTTCAGTAGATGAAACTGGAATGACATTGCGAGTCTAGGTATTGACCTAATGGGCTGCGTTCAACATTGTAGCGGCTAACCTAGCAGCTACGCCTAAATGTATGTGGGTTAAGTTCAAAACTACAGAACGAAGAAATCACAGATTTTAACTAAGAATATGACATCACATGTCTTTCTGAAATAAAAGACAATCCAGATTCTATATGCATTGGTTTAGAAAACTATATACAACCTTTAGTAAACACAGATGTTTATTATCAATTTGTAAATCAGGTGGATTTTTTATGCGCTCAAAATATTATATGCTTCAAATGTATCTATTATTGAACACGAATGTGACCAAATCTAATGGTTAAAACTTAATGGAAATAGAATATATAACATGTTGTAACTGACTCAATATCAATCAGGTTAAACGAAAATGTAATGCTGACATTTAGACCAACTTTAAAATAATGTTTGTTTGCCCTCTCCCGACTCATGATGAAAAAATTGGGTCGATGGGTATGTGAGAAAAAAATTTCCCCCCAGAAATTTTCACTTTCAATACTGAATTTTCAAAATCTATTTTCAAAAATGAATAAAAATAATTGCTTCCTGGATGTTTAAAAAAAGTTTTGAGTCGGGCCTAATCAGCCAGTCGATCGGGATAGGGCAACCAAACATTTTTTTAAAGATGGCCTCAGGATCTTTTAAATTTTTCATTTGCAAAATTATTTTGTTAAAAAAATTCTGATAGTACACACAAGTACTCTGAAATAGATATTAACAAGATGCTCTAGTTTCTGATTGACAATATCTATGCAGTTTTTGGAGATAAGGTCTCCAACAATCTGTCGGAATTCCCATGGGTACTTATTGCACCCCGTAATAAACAGGCCTATATTTATATTCATATGAAGCAGACAATCAATGCGGCTTTCAACTCGACATTTAGATATATCGACGACGTATTATCAATTGATAATAGTTACTTCCATTCATATGTCGACTCGCTATATCCCAGTGATTTTAAAGTAAAAGATTCCACAGTCTTACACATATGTTTCATTATTGGATATTTTACTAGAAAAAGACGATAATGGTAACCTAGCAACAAAACTTTATGATGAACGTGATGACACCAACTTTTCTTTCGTCAACTTACCTTATTTATGTAGCAATGTATCCTTCTTTCTTATCTGCATATGGATTTATATATACCAATTGATTCGATATACAAGAGCATGCTCCAAGTACGGATAATTTCTAAAACGGGGCAAGCAATTGATAAACAAGCTGATGAAACAAGGATATCAACAATCTCGTTTAAAGTCATCATTTCGCAAGTTCTATGACCTCATCAGTAATTACAATCTATCATAAAGTCGAATGCTGACCGACGTTTATCAGACTAATTGGTAGACCATTATTCAAACACTGAATTGTCTACAGATTTTTCCGTTTACCCGATCAAGACAATGAGCACACGGTGGATGGGACCGGTCGTTAGGGGATGCTTACTCCTATAGGCACCTGATCCCACCTTTTAGAGGTCCATGTTTGCTTTGCTCAGAATTTTTATTGTTTCAGTGGACTTTTAGCTTGATTATTGTTCGTTATCTCCATATATCATTACAAAGAATATGGTAATTCATATAGTGAGTGCGATTATAAATTAACCGAGGAAGATCTTCCGGGATTCTTTAATACAGAATTAAATCGTGTTATAAACCAACCTATTACATACAAAGAGGTATCTCAAGGTATACTCATGCTTAAAAATAATAAAACTTGTGGCAAAGACCGAATATTTAACGAATATATAAATCTTTATGTATTGTTATCAATTAAAATTTTTGAGTCGGGCAAAGCGTATATTTTGGGCATATTCCCATTGCAATAGTTCGTTGGTAAAATAATACTTATAATAAAAATATAAGAGTGATAATACTGATCTAAAGAATTATAGACCAATTACCTTTATTAGTAATATGTGTAAACTGATTACTTCTTTTTCAAATGAAAGAATAAGCAGAAAAAATTTCTTATATATCGAAAAATCAAGCTGGCTTCCACAAACATTTCTATATATTTTTATCATACTAGTACTCGATCATAGAAATTCACAAATCATTGAAGAAGAAATTATATGCATCTATTGACCTTGGAAAAGCTTTTGATTCTGTCTGTATACTAGTATAGGCTTATGGAAAAAGATTTTGCTGAAGAATCTAAATTAGTTTTAGAATTATTAAAAATATGTACAAAAATATGAAATCTTAGGTATTTTGAAATATGGCAGAGTTCTGGATTAATTTTTTTAATCACTTGCCGTGGCCTTCAACTCGACATTCAGATAAATTATATCCATTCTTATATCGACTCGATATATCCCAGTAAACCCGAAATAAAAGACACAATAGTCTGCACATCTGTTTCATATTTGGATGTTTTACTGACTATAGAACCAACTAATAACTAAAATGTATGACAAACGAGATTACTTTAGTATTTCTATCGTCAACTTACCTTATTTATGCATTAATATTCCGCTATTACCTGAATATGGTGTTTATGTGTCCCAACATATTCGATACACAAAAGCATGCTCTGAGTTGGGTTTTTACTACTGACAAATAAGTTGGTGTTAAAGGGTTTCAACAACCTCGTTTTAAGTCAGCATTTCATAAATTCTATGGTCCTTTGGATGACCTTGTTAGCAAATATAAGCTGTAATTGGGTTGCATTTGGAATGCATACATTTCAAACCAATCTTTAGGCCTTTGTTTTTATAGTAAATTTGACTTAAGATTATTCTGTCTACCAGATCAATACATAGGGTTCACGGTAGTTGTGACCGGTGAGTGGGAGTCTTTCTTCTCCTAGGCACCTATCCCACCTCTGGAATTTCCAGGGGTCCGTGTTCACAGATTTGTATTGTTTGTAGGTTTTTCGATATCGATCACTGTTAGTTTTTACACAGAAAGGTTTTTTTTATTGGTTTATTAGGTCACCTGAGTCATCAGATGACCTATTGCTATTGTTTTTGTGAAATGCATTAATTCTTTGAAAAAAGTCTTTCTGCTCCTGGATATTTATCAGATAAACTAAGTACATGGTTATGATAAGCAATTCAAAAATTGTGAAATTGTGGCACCGGAGTCAGGTGTTCAGGTGAAAGGAGGGGGTGTCTGTTGAATACATAATGAAATTGAATTATTTCTTTGAAAATGTTCTTCGCCTCTGGGTATTAAGCAGACAAATTAATTGGATGGATATGATGATCAAAGGTGTCTCTTCCAAAATTGCGAAATTTGTGGCCCCAGGGTCAGGGGTTCGGGCGGAGGAGGGGGTAAATATATAGTGAAAATGCATTTATTTTTTTTCAATTTCTTCTTTTCTGTCCCTGGGTATTTAGCAGACAAACCACTGATAGTTATGTTGAGCAAGGATGCCTTTTCAAAAAGTTTGAATTCAATACTCCCGGGCCAGAGGTTTTTGAGTTAAATGTAGTGCGGGGTTCTAATTGTATAGTGAAATTGAACTACATCTTTGAAAAATCCTCTTCTCTGCCCCTGGGTATTTAAAAAACACATTAAGTGCATGGTTATATTAAGCAAGAGTGCCTTCTTCAAAATTTTAAATTTCTTGGTCCTTGGGTCAGGGGCTTTGGTGTTAGCCTGGGGTTATGTTGAATTTAGAAGTGCATTATTTTTTTCATATTTTCTTCTCTGATCCTGTGTTTCTAGGAGGCAAACAGAGTATATAAAGTTTTAATTAGCAAGGGTATTTTTACCAGAGTTTTGAAATTCTGCACTTGGACAATTTATTAATTTGTATGCTACTGAAAGAAGTTATTCCCCTTAGCTATCCACCTATGATAATTTATCACAGTAAATAATGTAATGAAAGGTCAATTAAATAACAGAATGAAATAAAACTTTTTTATAATAATATTTAATACAAAAGTACTTTCATAGTTTTTAATGGTCAGGTAGACGTGTAAATAATAGATAAATAAAAATGGGACAAAATATATTATCTTTGCATATTTAATATTCATCAAAGACCAAGAGAGGCCAATGTGAGATTGAACAAGATGGGTTCACTAATAGTGCTCAAGAACTATTGTTTTGTTTAGTCCGCATTGGGATAGTGACAAATGAGAGCAGCTACAGTTAAGTAAAAAGATCAACTCTAAGAATTGTTACAGAGTACCAAATTATTATTTTGCTGATCCCTGATCATCTTCTTTGCTTTTGGGCAACATAGCTTCATTTACCAGCCTATTTTTATTTTATATTTCTATCTATGGATCCTTTACATTGTTACGTTATACTCGGGTGACCGTTAAGGCCCTTGGGCCTCCTGTCATAATATGATGTTAGCTTTTTAGTGGTAATTTATTTTAAAGGACTTAAAATTGTGGGAAGTTTAGACATCAATATAAGAAATAAAAACCAAAGTGCAATATGCAAAACAAATATTTTACAAAATAAAACTATTTGATAGAGACTTTCTATCATTTCAGAATAAAACATTAATACCTACGCTAATATTACCTGAAAATTGAAGATGTATCCGGAATTAAAACTTTAAAAGGTATTTCTAACTTTTTATTTCATTTAAAATACAATATTAATATACATATATATACATAGGACATATATATTCAATCATTTATTGATATATTTGAGAGAGATATTAAAATTGCATAACATTGCTAAAAAATTAAAAGAAATGTGGTGCTAAATGATAGTCGACATTTTATAAATTTAAAATTGCAAACAATATCAATAAATTGCGTTTACTAATGTGAAAATAAATTTCAGATGCGGAATATAGATAATGGCTGGGCATGGGTGGTTATGATGGCGGCCTTCGGTAGCCAGTTTGTGACAGCGGTATTGAGTTACGGTGTTGGTGTGTTGCACAACGCATTTCTGAGTGAATTTAAAGGAAACTTGACAATTACAGCTCTGGTGGGATCAATATTTGCAAGTCTTCTAAGTCTTTTAGGTACATGTAGCATGACACAAATACTCGCACACACACACACACACACACCCTCACACACACACACACCCACACCCACACACACACACACACACACACACACACACACAGAGAGAGAGAGAGAGAGAGAGAGAGAGAGAGTGAGAAGAGCTGCAGTGGTAAACCTGGTTAATTCAATTGATACAAGTACATGTATGATTTGCTTTGAAAAATGTTAAATTACACTTTGAATAACTTTTAATTTATAGGACTGTATTAACAGGGCCTATTGTGAGTTTTGTTATCAACAAGTGGAGCTGTAGAGTGGCTGGCATCATTTCAGGAATTTGCCTTTTTTCGGGACTGACATTAAGCGTATTTGCTCCAAATCTAATCACATTAATATTCACCTTTGGAATTGTTGCAGGTGACTTGTAATTCATGTCATATCTCTGATTATTCTTAGCTATTTGTAACTTTACAGCAACATTTTTTTTGTCCCCGTAGTCAAAGATTCGGGGGCATATAACTTTTGCTCTGTCTGTTTGTCTGTTAGTCTGTTTGCTTGTCCGCAAAAACTTTGACCTTGCCCATAACTTTTGATTGGTTGGAGCTATGGCTTTGATACTTTACATGAGTATTTCTTGTGATAAATCCTTTCCTTGGGTAGAAATATTTTTGACCTTTTGACCTTGGAGTTTGGCCCTATTTAAAAAACTTTAACCTTGGCCATGAGTTTGAATGCTTGGAACTAGGGCTTTCATATTATACATACATATATTTTTTGACAAGACCTTCCCTTGGGTCCCAAAAATTTTGACACTTTGACCTTGACCTTGAAGTTTGACCCACTTTTGAAAAAAGTTTCACTTTAGGCCATAATTCTTGAACAGTTGATGCTAGGGCTTTCATACTTCATAGATGTATTCATTGTGACAAGACCTTTCAATGATTACCAACAATTATGCCCCTTTAACCTTAGAGTTTGACCTACTTTTGAAAAAAATATCTTTGACCATAACTTGTGAACGGTGGGTGCTAGAGCTTTGATGTTTCACAGGTTATTCCTTGTGACAAGACCTTCCCTTGGGTACCAACAGTTCTGATCTTTAATCCTTTGTCTTGGAGTTTGACCTACTTTTGAAAATTTTTACCTTAGTCATAACTTTTGAACGGTTGGTGCTAGGGTTTCCATATTTCACAGATGCATTCCTTGTGACAGGACCTTCCAACATTTTTTATCTCTTGTCCTTTACCTTGGAGTTTGACTTGCATTTGAGAAACTTAAACATTCGCCATGAGCTGCAATACGGAGCATCAGTGTTTCACAAACACATCTTGTTTCATCTCAAAATACATACAAATGCATTATCTAGCTGTGTAAGCGGATATATTAATCTTCGGTATGTAGTAATATTCGATAGTGATATATGAAATACCCAATGCAAGTCAAAACACAGTTTTATTTTTATTTGTAGGCAGCGGGCTTGGATTTAGTGCAATAACTGCTGTTATTGTAGTGGGATATTCCTTTGAGAAATATCGTGGATTGGCTGTTGGTCTAAATGTGGCAGGAGCAGGTCTTGGAATGTTGGCTGGTGGTCCTTTAATTCAGTTCCTGATTGATCAATATGGACTTAGAGGAGCATTGCTAATCCTGGGAGCCTTCGGAAGTCACAATGTCGTGTTTGGTGCTTTGATGAGGCCAACCGAAATTGAAATGTCGTACAAGAATAAAGGAAAGACTTTACCAGAAAAGAGAAGTAGCATGTGTAACTTTCGTTGTGATATTCTCAAGAAAAAATCTTTTCTCTGTATTCTTATTTCTGCATTCCTGTGGAATATACCTTACGCCATTTTGTACCTTTACCTCCCCCGATTTTCAGTTGTGAACGGTGCCACGGAAATGGAGGCTGCCTCGTTGATTACAATGTTAGGACTTGGGAGCACTTTAAATAGACTCCTAGCTGGACTGATATTAGGTCCAGGTGGAATAGACCCTCTACTTCTCAACTTTGGTTTTCTTGGAATATTTGGTCTTACCACTGTCACTTTCCCATTTTATTGTACAAATTACATTGGGCAAAATATTTATGCTTTTATTTCTGGTATATATAGCGGAGGATTAATTGTCTTGATAAACCCTCTCTGTTTAGAGATAGTTGGTATCTCTCAACTGTCAACAGCTGTAGGGGTATATTTTACGTGGGCGGGGATAGGTTGTATATTAGCAGGACCATTTGCAGGTAAGGATAAAAGAGTTGGATTCTTTTAAATCAGCGTGAAATATTTTAGAATGTACATCGAACAATTCCAACAAGTTGATTATAATTTTTTTTTAATTTTCTCACAGGTCTCTTGATTGAGAATGGCATTACATATAAAGGCGTATTTTTTCTGTCAGGTAATAAAACGTGTATCATTAAAATTCTGAAAAATTTCTCATATATTTTTTTGAATACAAGCAGCTCCTTTATACAATATGATACTTAGTTAATATATTTTAAACATTAATTATTTTTTGCATATTTGGGAAAAAATTGTATCATTGATGAATTTAGAGTGGAAAGGATATGACTCCTGAACCTTTTAATTCCATTGATTAATTTCAAGGTTCCCGACGGAGCGTTAATTTATTGTCTAGAGAGATAAATATATCTTCCACATAGTTTATTTTTGAAGCTGACTTTAAAATATTTTTGAATTCTCAGGAATGAACCCCATCAGATTTTTTTTAAAGAGAGGAGAAGGACTCGCAAAAGGGGAGAAAGAGGGGATTATTCATGGCTCAAATTTGTGTCAGATTTAATGTGGGATTCCATGGAGGGGTGTTATGTGTTTTCCATACCACAACCCTATTAAATCTGCTTCTGATATCATATTGCAAATATTATATTTATCATTAAAAATATCCTTTCTGAAGGGCAAAACACAAGAAATGCAAACTGTTTTAATACCTACAAATGACGCAATAATTTTTGATATTATTGTCTTTCTTGTAAACAGGTGCAATGTGCCTTTTAGGCGCTTTTTCTACTCTGTGTGCATCTCTATGGTACAACACTATAAAGCCAGAGGAGAAAGCTGCCTCCTTTGTGGACTTCAAAGAAAGCCGTTTTCTTTCCGGATCAGCCTATTTCTCTGGCTCCTTCACCGTTATTGTTGATGCTGAAAATAGACAGAAATTAAAGAAAAGCTCCGAAAGTGTTGCAAAAACATCTAATTGTAATCCGAGCATGGAAAGTCTCTTCATGGATACACATTCACTGCATGCAGTTAGAAATCCCCAAATCGCAGATAGAGCATCTACACTAATACTGGAGAATTTCACACCAAAGTCAAAAAGAAAATGGCTGACACGTCCGGGTCAGAGTATGGACCAATCACAGGAAGGCTTACAGATTCAGGAAATTAGACTGCTACATATTGATGAATCGGGCAGCTGAGGTGATTTATAATTCAATGTCACAATACAGAAAGATATATCTTACATTTTAAACTTATTTCAATATTGTGTAAAAATAACTACCTTAGTAATGCATTAAACAGTCATTTCTGTAACTAGTAACTGGTAAACCACACATTTTAATAAATTCATAAAATGGAATCAGACGTGGGGACAGTGAATCGGTGACCTTGAGTGACTACATGAAGGAACATTTCAAAAATATTATTTTGATCGTAATGGACCCATAGGGTCTTGTAGCACAAGGCTGTTTGGTGTGTAATGAAATTAGCCATAAAAGGAGACGGTTTACAAGAGATATCTTTAATGATTTACTGATGAGAAAGGCATTACATGTAAACTTTTCATCTTTTTTTTTTTGAATTATGAAAATTTAGTATAACCCGATAATTGTTTTCCCTACAAATGTCGAACACAATCACTGTCCGTTTGCTTTGCATGGCCAAAAGGAATTTTAAAAGGAATAAAGAAAGTCTATTACTTAACTTGACAAGTGTGCCTATCCTTTATAATCTTTCTCTTATATAATTTTTATTGAAGGAATATATATTGGAAATTTCTACCTTCGAAGAGTGGAGGAAATTTACACCCATTTACCTGCATGTTTAAACAAACAATTTTTTTTTGAACTTCTTCCCCTCATATGTCTCCTGTTTGACTGATGTGCACCTAAGGAGAATAGAAATTATCTATAATTGAAAAATGCAGGGTAGTGATAGCAGTATGATTGCCTTTATTTAGTTTTCAAGTAAACACATCTAAAGGTGGGGGGGGGGGGGGAGGCTGATACTTTGAAATCAATATCGGTTGAAAATGAGGGCAAATGAACATCTTTCTTTAGCATTGCTATTTTATTATTTTTCAGGGAAGTCTCTTATATATGTATTTTTTTTAATCAAAATGTAAGATTTTCGCTTTTTGGGGAGTTAAATCTAAATTCTGAAAGTTTCAATTTATACTCTCTGTTTATAGTCACCAACTAAACGAATTAAAACTTAAAAGAATTCGAGTAAATCAACAAAGAAAAAGGACAGGGGTATGAAGCATGTATTGCTGTTTGTACGGAACACGCACGTATGTAGGGTCAATATCGATTTGACTCCACTTCTTGTCACCTAGCAGCGCCTTCAAGTATATCCTTTAGCAAAAACATGTAAACACCTACAACTTAATGGCATGATAACAAGCTGACAGACGATATACTCCAAAAAACAATTTAAATAGAGTAGGGTGTAGACCTGTGTGCACAGACCAAAGAGACGAAAATATGCATGTACGATTTAAAATTCTAACAGTTAATCTTCGAAACGCCAGTCAATCTTAAAATTTTGCAATATTTTATGCTCACATTTACCATTAAGATTGACTTCAAAACACTGTAATGCCTTTTTGTACCAAATATAAATAGATAAAACAAACTGTAATATCCCTGCATTCGTTACCATAATCAGAGAAAAATGACCACAGTATTAATGATTAACCATCAATGGATTTTTTTCCCTTGATGCATAATTCAATTAGTTAATTTATCAATGAAGGGCCCCGAAGTGGCAATAAGAAAGTACATTGTAAATATTCAAATAAGGTCATATACCTTTAATGCAATATATATACACGTAGGAAAGAGTTACATGATTGTGAGGAAAACAGACATAAAAGGAGGGAATAAACCAGATTTTATATATATATATATATATATATATATATATATATATATATATATATATATAAGTTCTGAGCAAAATTAAAATATGTTTATAAATACATACACATACAAATATTTACCCTCACACGCAATTGTATGTATACACTTTGATACAATTCATCATGAAACAGTTCAAATGCCTGAAATTTAAATTATGACAATGCCTTTTGTAAGAATCTACCAAGAGATTTTAATATGTCTAATTCTTCACAGCTCATGACCATATTCATGTTCAAGGTTTTGTTTTGTTATCGAATCGACTGACATCTGACTCAATTTTAAACACGTATGTTGTGTCATTTCTGAACAGTTTACACGTGAGCATTAAACCCCGAAGCTTCTTACAGGCACTGACCACGTGCAGAAGAAAATAAAACAAACATTGTGCGTTCAAAGGATTATTGCATTAGTCTAATTCAATGTACATACAGGCCTAGGTATATATATTGATATAAAATATCCGTTGTCTACTGCCATTGTCATCGTTGTCGAACTTGTAACCTTTTATGGTGTCGCACTACTTTCTGGACTCTTTGTTTAAATACCGTAAGTAACGATTCGAATTTATGCTTACAGATACTTTTTTCGTACAGTTGAGTTTCAGACATGTTTTCTAGAATTAAGTTTTTGTTGTAAGTAGCCTTATATGGTATGAAATATAAATATGCTATTTCATCATTTACATATTTACGATGACAGAACGTTGATAACGCACATAGGTTAACCTGCCAATTTTTGTTTGCATTCTTGCATATCGCACAGAACAAACTTTTTAAAAAAAATGCTGATGTGATGAATGGATCATTATCTGCACTCAGAGGGTCCTAATTGAAGTGGAGCAAACGACCTTGTAAAGGGAGTTGTATCAACAATTATTTAGCTGAACAGCTACTGAGGAAAGGTCGTTGCTTTATTAGTCAGTATAAAAAATATACAAAATCATATTGTGTGAAGAAACAGCAGCAGTATGCCTCGTTCAGTTGAATGCACGTTGATTATTAACAAAATTATTTGTGAATACTTAGACTCGAAGTAATAAACAGGACTTGAAAGATAAGGTAAATATAAGATAAAAAGAAATCTCCACCGACAACAAATCAATGGAAATTAAAATGGCCGATAAAGAATATCCAGATTCTACTTTGATCAAAAGTAAACATGAAGAGAAAACCAACAGAGATTCCTTCATAAATCACGAGAAGATCTTTTCGTCTGATGTCGATCGTGGATGGGCTTTTGTGGTACTCGCGGCTTCCTTCTTTAGCATGTTTGTTGCAGCAATTCTTACATATGGTACCGGTGTAATACATGTTGGTTTACTGGAGAAATTTCAAAAGGATGCAGCTTTCACTTCTTTGATAGGATCTGTGTTCTTAAGCTTATTATCACTTATGGGTACGTAGTCTATTTCATTCTTTCGATGTTTTTGATTTTACGACCAATCAAGTCAATCAGTTTTAAATATATATTACACAGAACGCTTTTTTCATTGAGGTTGTTTAAATTCTTTTAATGAAATATATGGAGATAACGAACAGTATTCAAGCTCAGAAGTCCATTTAAACAATACAAATCAGGAGGAGAGCAAACACGGACATCTGAAAAAACATCAGAGGTGGGATCAGGTGCCATGGAGGATGAGCATAATAATACATGCCTGTAGTTGAAATTATAAAGCATTTGCTTCTTCTTCTTTCTTTTTTTTAAATTTTACTTCATTTCTTCCTTTTTGTAAAAAAATTTCATTTAAATAATATTTGACGTTAATTTGTTTGATTACAGGCCCGGCTGTAAGCTTTGTTGTTAACAGATGGAGTTGCCGAGTCGGTACAATATTGGGAGGCCTCCTAGTTTGTATTGGCATCTCTTCTAGTTTTTTCGTGGAGAGACTTTCTGTTCTTATTGTGACTTATGGCGTCATAGCAGGTGAATTTTGTTTTGTATTAAACAATAATATAGAATATATGACGTCCTAGAGAAAAGTACCGGTATTTAGCAAGGTGAATTATTATTTCGTAACACACTCTATTTGTAATCTCCCCTAGTTTTATTGCCATTGACAGTGACATTGCGGATATGTTAAGAGTTTGAGTGACCTGTACTACATAAAACCTTGAATTCCTGGTCCTCAGGTAACCTATAGAGCCAAAGGCACAGATAACTTCAAAGCGACCGAGACATTTATGTTGCCCCCAGATTGAAAGTAAATGATATAGCTAGAAAAAAAAATTTGCATGACATTATTCAGACGATTGCTTAATATAAACATATACTAGTAATTGATTTTAAATAGAATAAACTTTTAATTGTTATAGTTTTACTTTTCTTTAGAGAAACTTTTCTGTTACATTGTATATGTACCGTTTTCCAGTTCATGAGAAGAACTTATGAATCTGAAGAGATTAGAAAATTAATATTACGTTAGAAAAGTATAAAAAGAAAATATAAATTCATGATGGAGCATGTTATTGAACTCATATTGTTGGGCAGCTTAGAGGCGGAAGATCAGAAATTTTACGATTTTTACATAATGCAGATATTCATTGTTTGTTCTCTAGGGTCTGGTATGAGCTTCATCGTTTTAGCACCAGTAATAGTGATAGGATATGCATTTGAAAAATACCGCGGGATGGCTGTTGGATTCGCCGTGATGGGAGCTGGATTTGGGATGTTTGTTAGTGGGCCCTTAACACAATTTCTTTTGGATACTTTTGGTCTCCAAGGAGCATTTCTAATCCTAGGGGGTATTGGATTACAGTGTGTGTTTCTCGGCTCGCTAATGAAACCAGCTCAGCTGGAAAAGAAACATAAAATTGATATACGTCGTGCTAGGTTAACAAAACATGAAGAAACACAACCGAGTAGCAAGTGTAAATTAAATTGTGAACTTCTTCATAATAAGACATTCATTTTGATAGTTCTGAGTGCGTTTTTATGGAATGCTGCTTATTCCATTATCAGTGTTAATCTCAGTAATTATGCGTACTCAAAGGGGGCAACAAAGCAAGAGGCGGCCTTCTTATGGACAATGGTGGGCATTGGAAGCACCGTGAATCGTTTTCTAGCTGGGTTAACATTAGGACCAAATGGCATCGATCCATTGTTGTTAGATTTCGGGTTTTTAGGTATCATTGGTATTCTGACTCTGACGTTTCCGTTGTATGCTAATCTTTTTAGTGGTCAGTGTATATTTTCTTTATTTTATGGAATCTATAGTGGGGGTCTTGTTGTTTTAATCAACCCTTTATGTTTGGAGTTGGTTGGTTTACAACAGTTGCCACTGGCGGTAGGGTTTACGTATTTCTCTGGCGGTGTTGGATCTATTATTGGGCCTCCATTTACAGGTATTTGTCTTTAATTAAACATTTTCATTCAATTATTAAAAAAAATTTTGCATACATGGGTTAATCGTGATATAATTCATTTTTTCTTGAATATTTTTGAAATTAGAAAGAGGTGAATAACATACAGACATACATGTTTCAATGCCACTTTCTACCTAGGATTGTTGGTGGATGCCATGAGCGACTATTCCTTTGCATTTTACCAGACAGGTAAGTTGTCAGTGTACCCTCATAAACAAAAAGTATTCCTAATTTTGTTCATACGAATTTCTGGTTATTTGTTCTAGTGTACATTTTTCAATATTCGCACTTTTTATTTATATTTCTGGGAAATTTTTTAGTATTTTCCTAACATTTATTTATCAGTGATTTTTACAGGAGGACTGTTTTTACTAGCAGCTCTTTTAGTACTGATATCGTCACTTTGGAGGAGTGAAAATGAATTTTTGACAGCCGTGTCTTTAGTAAGTCTTAACAGTGCAAGACTTCTTTCGGGATCGGCCTTCATTTCCGGGTCGCTGTCCTTGATAGTTGACCCTATGAACATTGCACGTGCAGATTCTGATTCAATATACAGTCATCAGTCGTTTAGGAGAGCTTTAGATATCAGCAGTGACAATGTGGCCAAAATTTTACTTGAGAGAAAATACCAAGGAAGAGACAGAACTGTCAGTGAGAACGATGCTCAGTTTACAAATAAGTACCGGAACAGCCCAATCGTATTTAACAAACGTACTGTCAGTGTTGATCTAGGTGGAGATAAATCGAAGGAAAGAGTTAATTCAAGCGAGAATGGCAGTGTTCTATGATCTAGTAAAAGAATTCGATCCATATTAATATACAATGCTGTTATTTGTCTCTAAAGAAGATCTTTTTATTTTTATAATGAGCAAAATTTTCAATATTATGTACCTGTACAATTTTTTTTTAATTCACTTGAGGTCAATACGTTGAAGTACAAACAATTTTTTCATCAAATCGAAGAGCCTTAAATGTCCTCTCTTTATCTCACTAGGAGTAATCTTAAACACCAAGAGAAGACATTTTAATTCAGAATATGCATTAAATATATAGACAGACCTCAAAGCAAGTGAGCTACTAGTGTTACAGTTAGTATTATATACTTATTGCATGTAGTTGAGTGTAACATTGAAAATTTTCACCCCAAGAAAACTATTGTCAACCGAGTCTGCGCCTTGGTTGACAAAGGTTTTCTTGGGGTGAAAACTTTCAATGTTAAGCTCAGCTACATGCAATATTTATTATATTATACAGAATGTTTTATACAAATACATATAACAGTGAACCTTGCGCGCATAATCTGCGCAGTCACTATTTTTAGCTCACCTGAGCCGAAGGCTCAAGTGAGCTTTTCTGATCACATTTTGTCCGTCGTCCGTCCGTCCGTCTGTCTGTCCGTCCGTCTGTAAACTTTTCACATTTTTGACTTCTTCTCAAGAACCACTGGGCCAATTTTGACCAAACTTGGTACAAAGCATCCTTGGCCGAAGGGGAATTTAAATTGTTAAAATGAAGGGCCAAGTCCCCTCACAAGGGGAGATAATCAAGAGAAGACAAAAATAGGGTGGGGTCATTAAAAAAATCTCCTTCTCAAGAACCACAGGGCCAGTAAAGCTGAAACTTATATGGAAGCATTCTGGGGTAGTGTAGATTCTTAATTGTTCAAATCATGACCCCCAGGGGTAGGGCGGGGCCACAATGTGGAATCAATGTTTTACATAGAAATATATAGGAAAAATCTTTAAAAATCTTCTCAAGAACCACTGGGCCAGAAAAGCTGAAACTTATGTGGAAGCATCCTGGGATAGTGTAGATTCTAAATTGTAAAAATCATGACCCCCGGGGGTAGGGCGGGGCCACAATAGGAAATACAAGTTTTACATTGAAATACATAGGAAAAATCTTTAAAAATCTTCTCCTCAAGAACCACTGGACCAGAAAAGCTGAAACTTATGTGGAAGCATCCTGGGGTAGTGTAGATTCTAAATTGTTCAAATCATGACCCCCGGGGGTAGGGCGGGGCCACAATAGGAAATCCAAGTTTTACATTGAAATATATAGGAAAAATCTTTAAAAATCTTCTTCTCAAGAACCACTGGGCCAGAAAAGCTGAAACTTATGTGGAAGCATCGTCAAGTAGTGTACACTCTAAATTGTTCAAATCATGACCCAGGGGATAGGGCGGGGCCACAATAGGGGGAATCCCAAGTTTTACATTGAAATATATAGGAAAAATCTTTAAAAATCTTCTCAAGAACCACTGGGCCAGAAAAGCTGAAACTTGTGTGGAAGCATCCTGGGGTAGTGTAGATTCTAAATTGTTCAAATCATGACCCCCGGGGGTAGGGCGGGGCCACAATAGGAAATCCAAGTTTTACATTGAAATATATAGGAAAAATCTTTAAAAATCTTCTTCTCAAGAACCACTGGGCCAGAAAAGCTGAAACTTATGTGGAAGCATCCTCAAGTAGTGTACACTCTAAATTGTTCAAATCATGACCCAGGGGATAGGGCGGGGCCACAATAGGGGGAATCCCAAGTTTTACATTGAAATATATAGGAAAAATCTTTAAAAATCTTCTCCTCAAGAACCACTGGGCCAGAAAAGCTGAAACTTATGTGGAAGCATCCTGGGGTAGTGTAGATTCTAAATTGTTCAAATCATGACCCCCGGGGGTAGGGCGGGGCCACAATAGGAAATACAAGTTTTACATTGAAATACATAGGAAAAATCTTTAAAAATCTTCTCCTCAAGAACCACTGGACCAGAAAAGCTGAAACTTATGTGGAAGCATCCTGGGGTAGTGTAGATTCTAAATTGTTCAAATCATGACCCCCGGGGGTAGGGCGGGGCCACAATAGGAAATCCAAGTTTTACATTGAAATATATAGGAAAAATCTTTAAAAATCTTCTTCTCAAGAACCACTGGGCCAGAAAAGCTGAAACTTATGTGGAAGCATCCTCAAGTAGTGTACACTCTAAATTGTTCAAATCATGACCCAGGGGATAGGGCGGGGCCACAATAGGGGGAATCCCAAGTTTTACATTGAAATATATAGGAAAAATCTTTAAAAATCTTCTCCTCAAGAACCACTGGACCAGAAAAGCTGAAACTTATGTGGAAGCATCCTGGGGTAGTGTAGATTCTAAATTGTTCAAATCATGACCCCCGGGGGTAGGGCGGGGCCACAATAGGTATTACAAGGGGGGAGTCTGGTCATGAACAGCATGGCCAAAGTTACTCAGGTGAGCGATGTGGCCCATGGGCCTCTTGTTTGGAATATCATCTGTCGTCAAGCAATGTTCACTGTTGCTACGCTGGAGGGCGTGGCTTCATCATTCAGCGGGTAATGGTGTTTTTAACAAATGTTTCTCGACGAATCAGATTCAACTAATTTACATGAAAGTTTAATATAATAAATTATAACTTCCACATAAGGGTGAATTCAAAAAAGAAAAAAGAAAAAAAAAGACTACCAAATTGAAAAAAATTCAACTACCCATAACATATTTTTTACTTATATCATCATATTGTAAATACACTCTAGTTAAAATTCTCGAAGTTGGAATAGAATAGACAATTTGATAAAAAAAGTTTCAGAATTTTTATAACTAAAACTTTATTTGAAAAAAGAAAATATTACTATATCCTAAAAGACTCTCTAAAATACATAATCAAAAGAAATTATAGTGTTTTATGCTTCCAAATAGTATCTGGGATATAAATGATTAGATCTAAACCTTGATTGAGTTTCTTCTCTTGTATAGGTGGAAAAAATTTGGCTTTTTGGTTGTTATTTAACATTATTTTTTCAATTCTGATTTTAAAAGTTTAATATAAAGGAAATATGAAACAACAAATTTCCCCCCAAATCATTTTTGTCCATTTAAGTCAGCTCTTTAAATTTAAGCCGAAAGAGAATTTTGACATGCAAGTTTTCTTACAAAAAAGACTAGATTTTGAAGTGACCCTTTGTTACATTATTGCGTTGCACTCCTGACGTCTGATATCCGATTATATTTAACATTGTTTTAAAAATTGAAACACACAAGAACCCATTGTTTGTAAATCAGTCTGTCGTTTTGATATTTTTTATCAATTTACGACAAGTTTTTCATATTTTCAAGACTTCAAAACATGATTATTTGCAATGTATAATATATATTTATCGTTAGTGTATTTAAAAATATACGTTAAGTGATGAAAACTATTCTCTGAATTGACTGTAAATTGTCTGTAATTAGTTAATAGACATAATGTTTTGAACATCAAATAGTATCAAACATTTTTTTTCAATTTAATTTTTAGTAAAGATAGATGATCATGGATAATTATAAAACTGTTTTGTTGCACTCCTGGCTGCAATAAAATTTAAAATAAAACCACAGAACACAAAAATTCATAAAGTGTTGAGAACATCAAGTGGTAATGAAATTGTGCAATATTTATAGTCCAATAATTCATAATTAAAACAAATGAAAGTATTTGAACTTGACTTTATATCTGGAATTATTCCCTATTTATGTCAAAAACTAGCTAAAAAATATATTTAGAGGATAAATGTATTTTATAGTATATTTTCCTTCACAGGACAAACAATGTAAGCAACTGAGGTCAACCAGAAACATTCTGTCATTAATTTTTTATTTACATTTATTCATATTTGATGAGCAATAATTCTAACATATTTGTTGCACTCCTGACCAAGAGCATGGGAGTCTTTAAAGTAGAATTGTGAAGCGTTAATTATATCAGAACTTGTTCTGTTGTTTCAGTGAAGCTGTTGTGGAACTACTTGAACTTAATAACAATTTTTCAGTGTGTTCATTTTTCACATTCTTAAAAAAATCATAGAAAAGATAAAAACACATCTGAATTGATAAAATTGAAAAAGAGAAGGATTTTGATAATAAAACTGTCAATAATTTAGTACTGAATTATTCAAGTAGATCATTATTAATTTCTTAGCATGAGTAGAAGTCTTTTCATCGTATAACTTGAATCTTTAAAAAATGTGTTGCACTCCTGACCATAGAAATATAGATCTGAAACACGGGCATATCTTCTTTGTGTCTTTAATTTCCAAAATAAAAATCAGAAAATCATATACTGATAAAAGATTTTTCATGCTGGGAAAGAAAACATCAAAACACTCCTGACATTATTGGGTATGCGCAGTTACTTGACTCTCATTAATGCTGCTTGTGATTTATATAACATTTTTAAGTTTTAAATTGTATATCAGTTCTTGTTTTACACTTTCAAAATTCATTTTTGACTTAATTGTCTTTCAGATTTTTAAAATCGATGTTTTTTTGGAGCACTACATTTTTTCTCTTGCACTCCTGACATGGTAAAACATTTTTTTCAACATCAGCCCTGACCACAACTTGGTCAAAAAAAAGTTGCTACAGTATACATTTAAGGATATCCGATCCTCAGCCAGGAAGGATAACTCTTAAAATTATTATCTTATTTAAAAAGTCTCAAAATAAAGCTTGAAATTGATATCTTTTCGTGCAACAATTTTCATTTTATCCATCTTAATATGATTCAAGGTTCTTTGAAGTCTTAGAAACAGTCTTGTAAAATTTGACATTTGTACCCCATAAAAGAACAAAAATGAATTCATTTTTAGAGAAATCGAATTATCTTTAGTCTAGCATTAGGTACGACTGCTTATTAGCATTTTATGAAATTAGATGTGATATGTGATGTCTAGCAATGATACCACAAGCTTTTTACACTATGTATCATATGACAATATTGAAGCAAACAGAACTAAAATACTGTATAAGCATAAAATAAGATGCAATTTTCTCCAAATGCCTGGATACCTATATTTTTCTATCCTAAGTTACAGTTGTTGATCAATTTTCAATTAGAAAATACATAGTTCGTGTTTTTATTCGCATTTCTTGAAAATGTATTTGAGATTTGATAATTTTCCCTATATAATATGATTAACTATAATGATGAACTTTGAAGAAATTCCATGGGTAAATTCACGTTACTATGTGATATCAGAGACATTTTTGTGAGCATTTTCAATTACTTAGAAGCTGATTTTCAGAACCTGAGGATCGGACTACCTTAAAGCTCAGTACTTTGAATATTATCAGGAAAGTCTTCATTTCCACCATAAACCATTATCATTTATTTCACAGATCTTTAATAAATATGGAATTTTCAAAATGTCACAAAAAGGTGTTGCACTCCTGACATTTTTAGCATCAAATTTGGGCATAGCTTTTTTATGAATTGAGGTATCAATAAGATATTTGATCGATATTTAGACACTATCTAAAGACATATTCTGAGACATAGAAATTTATTCCCATTGCCTGTACTTTTAGTGCAGGTTAAAAATATGTGTTTGGTCATTTTTTTTAAATTCACCCATAAGGTATATCACATACTGATTATTAAAACATTTACTTTTAACAGTACATTACTCTGTACCGATATCAGGCTTCAAAGTATACTACTGTAAATGTATTATATTTAGCGTGTGTGATATTTGGCGGAAATTGACTTAAAAAATAGCGCAGATTTGACTTTGCGTATTTCTTAATGTTCTTATTTATGTGTATACGTGCAAGACATGAATTAGCGGATCGCTTTCCGCCAAAGGCGCTAAAAAGAATACACACAGCTAAATGTAATTCGTTTACAGTAATTTATATAAACTCACTCTAATCTTCGCAACATTTAGTTAATAAGTGAAGTAGACATTGACTAGTTTATGCAAGATGTATATCAATAAGCTGACAATACTAACAATAAGCTGATGTTCAATGAGATTTCTTGAAATTTTAAATTTTCATTGACCTGAGACAGAAAATAATGAACTGATCATCAATGCTTAGTCATCAGATAACTGACTCACAAGCTATTTGTCACTTGTACTCACTTCACTCTAAGGACACTGTCTCCTATTCATCTCCGCATGTACATGACAAAGTGTTTCACATGATTAACAAGTCGTTGAATGAGATTACTATCTAACTTTACCATCTACAGACTGCCTTTGTATGTGTCGAAACATTTTTCTGAAAGACAATCTTCAATAACACCCTTTTCATTTGCCTTAATGCATTCGCTAATTTCTAAAGCCAATTGCTGGATGACTGACCTTTTCCCTGTTCCACAAATAATCATAGGTCATATGCTATGTGAATACACTGGAAGGTTCATTCTCTGTTTAAAAAAACCATACGTTCTATTTAATTCTCATGTTCACAGAATTATCTCTGAGCAGATGTATTTGTGCTGTCGACTTCTTCATGCTGTCTCTACCTCCCGATTCACTATGTGTTAGATGCATTTTGTCTCGTTCGAAAGCCTAATATTAGGATCAATCTATGGGGAATAAATTGAAAGGTAATGTAAAGGAAAAAGATGTTATAAGGCGAAGTGATGAGACGTTATAACGCGAAAAAGGCGTGATACAATGTAAAACAAAAATAGTTATCATGCCTTTTTTAAAAGAGGCAAAATAATGCAAAAAACAAAAAAACAAAACAAAACAAACAAAAAACATAACATTTCTCAAAAAGGTACAATAATGTAAAATAAGAATGCGTATTAATACCAGTAAGGGTCTAATAACGCGAATCAAAAGGCGATATAACGCAAAAAGGCTTTACTATGACTTTCAAAAGATGTTACAGTGCTAAGCTTTATAAAAGACATAATATTCTCTTTGCGTTATTACACCGTTTGAGAGGCAGAATAACGCCTTTTGATTCACCTTATTACGTCTTTACGTGCATTAATGCGTTATTTAAGGAATAACTTTTTTTTTGTGGTTTTATGATGTGATCAAGCAATTGGTTTGCGTGATAATTTGCATAAACGCCGAAGGCGTTTATGCATAAAATTATCACGCAAGCGAATTGCTTTATCATCATCATAAAACCAGAAAAACTGACAGATATTCCTTATATTTACATATGATTCCGTATATTCACGTGCTCGATCAAGCCCCGCCACTTCCCTCTAGCTCTCTATGTCTCTTACATGTACCCCCGGCCAGCACGTGATTTTTTTTACCACGCCTTTCGATGAACCAAAAGCTTTATGAAGAAATCAAGTTTTTTTTTTATCATTCGTCGTTTTATCTTGGACAGGGAAATTTGAAATGTAAATATTAAACATTAAAGGCTTAGTAACGTCCCTTTTGTGTTATTACGCATTTTTTCACATTATAGTTTCTTTTTACCGTGTGTTATGATGCCTTTCATTTTCTTTCTTCCAATATTTGATCCTAAAAGGCTTTCATATCAATATTTTCAGACAATCGACCTTGGATACAAGACTAATTTTGGTATGTTGCTAATGGTTGTACTACAGTATTGAGATATAAGACACTTCCTCTAGTATATTTTGTCGTAACGGATGATGGCCTACAGAAAATCATTATGGAAAATCAGTTATAGGGATTATCTTTATTGGTGCATTATCAAATTGTAAATAATGTGCCAACTAAAACTATATGGTGAATATAGCCATAATAGATTAATAAGCAGGTAATGAAACATGAAAACAAAGTATTGTATATAGCACCATTAGAAAGAAGTGAATGGGAGACTGGAAAGACAGCAAGATTGTTGTCTCCAAGAAAGCAGCACTGTCCAACCTGGAACCTGTGACACCAGAGAGAAAAAAGGGGGTAATAAAAGGACACGTGACCAATCGTTAGAAAAAAAATGATTTCCATTTATACAGTTGCGCAACAACAAACACCAAAAAGTTTGTGACTTGGAGATTTTTTTTCGTCTGTATATGCCTATGCGAGAGAAGTTCATGTATATAAGTCACTAAAGGAAAGTTGATAAATAACGGTTTTAAATAATGTTCAAATATTTTTTCGTATTAATAGTAGAAAAATATTTTTAAAAAGTATTTAGGAGAATTTCAAAAAATTTATTTCAAAGCAAAACAATATGTACATTTAATGTAAATGTACTGTGAATGAGAAAATACTGAAAAAAATTTCAGTATTGCAACAACTCCTTATCACAGAACAGGTTCTGCAACTTGAAGTTGATTAAGAACCTCGTAGTGTGCTTGTGTCGAGCTCCAGTTCGCTATCTGTGATTTCTTTTGCGACATTGAAAAAATCAGAGTGATTCTCCCCTTGTAATAAAGGCGTCTTTTCATTTTCCATACACATGTTCGGGAATCCTTCCTTATTTAGTTTTTCGCTTCCTTCCTCTTCCGGACTGCATATTTTTATCTGTAGAACACTGTGTACTTGTGGACTGAAGATGTAAACCAGTAATAACAGGAAGCTACTCGTGATCTTTGTAACACAGACCATAATCATTACAGGGGTATAGGAGTCCTGGACCTCGAATAATGAACCTTCACAAAATAAAAGAGCTCTGTTATTATCGAAAATTTCTAAAAATACTATGTACAATTTCTCACCAGTTAACTTCATATTTGCGTTTGTCAAGTGAAATCACCGCAACGTCTACATGCAATTTTCAGAGATGTTGCTGTTCGTATTGACACATGGAAAAGGGGGTTAATAATATTCATTTTTCGATGACAAAATCTTTACTGGATATAGATTGATTTGTAGGTAAACAAAAAAAAAATCAATTTTAACTTAATTTAAGATACTACTCTCAACTAGAACTATATAACTCTACAAATTTGAATAATGGAGAAAAGCTGCAAGTGGACTTGTCAGATTTATTTTCATTTAAAACGTTTACATTCATAGAATTTATCTGATTTTTTCTATGATATTATTTTTTTTTACCAAGTTTTGATGCAAATCAAACCAAAAGTAAAGGAGGAGTAGCATTTTGAAAGAATTTACAGATTGTTATAGGTTAGAAGGCAAGACCGTTCTTCAAAATCCGATACATAGGATTTTGTGTCCTAATATCATAACAGTCTACCACGATTTATTAAAATCAAATCAAAATTGTACAAAAATTTAAAAGAACTTCACAATTTTTAAAAAAAAAAAATGTCCTCATCATTCACCGAATGCAAGCATTATGTATCTTGGTGTAGTATATGATTTTGTGTTCCTAGTTTTACTGAATTCATATTAAATCACTATGAAAGTAGTGGCAGTTTAAACGAATTTCGAGGATTATTTTGTTACTACGACAACATCATTCATCAAAATTAAAAATTTAGAAAGTATGTCTCCTAATGTGATTTATTTACATTGTATGTACTACGTGTTATTGAAATTAGGTGGGGGGGGGGGGGGTGTTAGTGATTACTCAATCAGTATAATCTGTTAAATTCTTTCAGGATCTACATCTTTAACAGATTTGGCCTGGTTTAAAACACACTTTATACAAGTTAAAAAAAACAAATATCTATATAAAAATCTGTTACTGTATTTCAATTTAGAAAAATGGTATACGTCCAAGTGCATATTTTCTCGTAAATGTTTTGGATTAAATCCAATAAAGTTATACAGTCTCATTAGAGTTCCTGGTTTTGTGTTGCTTTGCCTTGAATATCAATAATGATACAAGAAATCTTCGGAATTTTTCCACTTGTTATTATATGTTATACACAATGAAGCTGAATTGTTACTAAATTTGTAACAAACGTTGAATCAAAATAACTTTTATATACATGTATTATTTTGTACAAATTATAGAGACGATAAAAGGAACCTTAACATATAATTTTGATGTAAGGAATACTATTCTAACAGAAAAAATGTTTCTTACCTGCCAATGGAGCACCGAGAAGATTTCCTACTCCAAAAAAGGCTAAATTCATTCCTAAAGTCAATTCCAGATTTTCATGCCCATAATATGTTTCCAAAATACCAACAACAATAGCACCTCCTGTTGCTGCTGTGCTCGCACCAAAAACAGCTGCGTAGATTATCAGCACGAAGTACTCATCTGAAAACAGCAGAAAAGAGGTAGAGACACCTCCCACAAGGAAGAAAATCATGCCTAGCTTTATCGGCAATGACGTTGACACTTTGGCATCCAAAGCAGCACCTTGCAGTAACTTGACAATCATTACTGAGATTCCGATAATGGAATAAAGATACGCTCCTTTGTCGGTGGAGATTCCCAAAGTTTCAGCATATTCGCCAAGGTGACCATAAATAACTGAATCTCCAAACCCAGCTAGGAAGAATCCAAAATGAGTCACATAAAACCCTGGATTCTTCAGAAAATGCCATGTTGCGACAAATTTTTCACACTTTTCGTTATTCTTGGAAGATACTGGTCGAAAGATAAGTCCAATACTACAGAACTGTAGAGCGACTCCTGCAAGAACAAGGAACAAGCCTTTTGAACCATATGCAGAGTCTAGCTGTTGTATAATTGGAGAGAATACGAACGTCCCGACTCCTGTGCCACATGACGCAAAGGCTATGGCTATTTTCTGCCGGGGATGGCCAAGAAAATAGACAGGAACAGCGACGGTAGCTACCATGTATGCCATTCCACACCCAAAACCTGAAAGGATGGAGAAAATGGATACATGGGTTGGGTGACATTTATATACAATGTATTATAATTTTGTGGCGAGTTTTTATCAGCATGTAAGCTTTTTCACAGATTAAGCATAGCAAAATGGCATTGACTTCTCCTCCTCCGTCGTTTCAATGCTCAAGGTTCGCCTCACGAAAACATTGAGGTAAGTATACCTAACGCAACACTACACAGAAAATTCTAAAAAAAAAAAAAAAAAAAAAAAAAATTGCATACAAATCTTTTAAAATCCTTTTTATAATTAGTTCTTTTTACAAGTTTAACTATTTTCAAAGTAATTAGTAAATTACCTGTAACAAAACCATATGACAAAATTAGATATGTAAGCTGTGTAGATAATGAGCTGAGAAACAGTCCAACTCCTGCAATTAGTCCTCCGCTTATTGCAATGATCCGCCACCCAAAGGTTTTCAACAACCGTCCGCTTGGAAGACCTAGAATAAACACAAAAAAGCTCTTTATAAAATGCAATGTACCCTTTCAATGGTCCTTAGACTAAGAACATTCAATTACTATTTTGAATGTGATATACTTCTATTTGAGTTCAGCACATGTCAGAATGAAAGTTTTATCAAAATAAATAAATAAATAAGATTTTCATTTGTTACACTAATTAAATATTAAATACATTTTCTTCGTCAGCATTCTCGGTACTACTATTAGAAAATTCTAACGACATATTTCTCTGTATTTTGAATCTAAAACATTGATAAATACCTGATGCAAACATTACTGTTGTAACTATGGAAGATATCCATGATGTTTCCGCTTTACCCGTCTGGAACTTTCGCAAGACTATGACGTAGACAATCCCTGATGTGTACGTGATGCCATATACAATGGCGCGAACGGTCATAGCTGCCAAAACGACAATCCATCTGTAGCTAACACAACTCGGCATTATCTCCGAGATTACTGGTCACTAATTTCTGAGGATTAACCTTTCATCTAGAATATTGTGTAGCTTGGAGACAATGAAAAATGAAGAATAATTTGCACTCGTCACATTTGCTTTTCATAACTTTTCTCTCAGAATATGTCTAATGACAAAAAGAAAGAATAGTTAGATGCGGAAATGTTAAAGGTTTCAAGGGGAAGCTGCAATACGAGGACACTAGCTATTTTGTTTAGTAGTACTTTCCCTCCATTGTTTATTGTATATTTAACGTTTTGAATAATAAACAGCTACATGTAGTTAGTGACCAAAACCAGTTGAATTTGTAAATCGTGTACATTTCAAACTTAAGAAGCGACCTCTTATAATTATTCTATTGGATATTCTGATTACCACTTCTTTAGGCACTAACTTTGAAAACAAAATTATCTTTCGGAGGGGGATATATGTACATGATAATAAAGGTATCCTGAGAGCTTTATACTGATATTTTTTTTTAATATTAATTATCTTAAATGACTATTATCTTTGATAATAGCTAGGTTATAAAGAATCTCCTTTTGCTAACAAAGCAAGATTCAAAGCATTTACTTAAGGCTTTCCTTCGGTGCAGGTTATCTAATTCAAAGTTTGGGGGACGAACCAAACAGAATACATTGTCCTTTGCTTTAACAGGAATGATTTCTGTAGTTTAGGTTGGCATTTAATGTACATACTCAATTAAATTTTCTTAATTTGCTGCTTACTGCACTCACTGATCTCAAAAACAAGTTCACAAATAACATTTCATTTCCGTTTGAGAGGAGTTCAATGTGAATAAAAAGTATTGAGTATACTTGATACATTTTCCTATAGTTGTCATCGAGTAACCGTTACTCGGGTAATCTTGGAAAGGGGTCGTATACCAAAATCAATACTCGAATACTCTTGGTTTGAGAGCGAAATAAACTGAACTTGAACTTGAGAAGAAAAATTTAAAACCATGTCTTTTCCCTGTTATCGTTACAATGAGCACATTCTAGTTTCAAAGATCATCGAACCGTTCTCAGTTACCTAACTCGAAGTTAAACCCTGTCATAATTATGTTGGCAACAATTAAAGTTATTAGCACCTAGGCCAATGACAGCACATTGTTTTCTTTAAAGTGTAATATATAGAGGGACACACCATGATTGGAAACTATTAATTCAACGAAACATAGCATGGTCTCTTTTATTACTTAGTGGCAAAAAATACCCCCGCCCTCTTAATTCTGGAAATATTTTAAACGAACTGTAAATTCTAAGTCTATAAAATGTCAACTATGTGAAGCTGAAAATACTTACAAAGAAGGGACAACTTAAATGTTCAATCATTTAATAAGCATAGTAACATCGAAGTAACACCAGCAGAAATTTGAAATCGGAAGACAGAACAGTTGATATATAGTTATATAGATATACAGTTGACATATAGTTGACAAATGCTAGTATATATGGATTACAATGCAATACATGTCTCGTACATTTATTGGTATATATAGAAAGTAAGAAGAGATAACTAATAATCACTGTAAAATTCTCATTCATTCCGAGTGGTTTGTTGACTTCATGATGAGCATGAAAAAATTCAAATCCAGTTCGAAGAATTTTTAGATGAAATTTATTATTTAGGTATTCCAAAACATCAGTTGCTTTGAAATTCAAAGAAGCTACACTTTAAGATGGACAAATAAAGAATTAATATCGTTTAATTTTCTCACATTTACAGCAAAGTTAAAACCATAATATTCTCGAAGTTAAAATGTTAATATTATTGTTTACTTATGATCAACATTTTATGTTAACGGTGAAAAAACCAGTAGAGAAACATGAGGACCCTTAATTATGGTCCGTTTTTTGAGACACAAACGCTCTTTGGTGTACCAGAATTTTACTGTTTGACAGTTTGGTTTGTATTTACACGTCACTTCCGTTTTTACCCTCCGCCTGTGTAGTAATTAGGCTTGTCCTCTCAGACACAACCTTGTCCCGGGTCTGTTCATCTTCTCTGTCATTTTCTAGAAAAATCGATTGATTTCCTTCTTGGATATAATCATGACTTTTATTGGAACTTGTGGACTCTTTTGATTCAAAGTCATTCAAAAATTTATCGAAATTCTGTACTTTTGGGATTTCAATGTCTACTACGATGATGCTTTTCTCTTGGCGTGGCCTCATTAGATACTGTCTTGGGTAGACCATGATTACTGCACTAACTATCATGGAAGCCGATGATAACAGAAATGGATAGTGGTAATTCTCCATGCTGTCATACATCCAACCTTAAAAAGTATACAGATTTTAAAGGCACAATGAAAATAACAATTCTCAAAATTGCATATTTTTTAAAGCTGAGACATTTGAGAGTAGTGGGGTGTGTGTAGTACCCTTTAGATCGATTTTCAATCGAAAATGAAAGTTGATCACATAATTTGAAATATTGAAGGAATATATTTGAGAATTTCGTATTAATTGAATTTCGATCCATTTTATGATTTGAGCATAAAAAACAATTGAATTCTACGCGTCTTATATCAGGGAAGAAAGATTTAGTCGAAAAATAGGCTTATTGTATACATATTTTATCTAAGGTATGTAATTACGGCAATGGGAAAGGCAAATAGTAGTCACAGCAATAGGAAAGATAAATGTAATCATAGCAATTGGAAATACAATGTATATAGCTAATCGTTGCAATACTAAAGTTAAATGTTATCATAGCCATAAGAATGATTTATGAAATTTTAGTAATAATCAAAATAAATGTATTCTCGATATATCCCAGTGAGCTTAAAATAAAAGATACCACAGATTCTAACACATCTGTTTCATATTTAGATACTTTACTAGAAAAAGACGTTAATGGTAACCTAACAACAAAGCTTGATGATAAACGTGATGACTTCAACTTTTCAATCGTCAGCTTCCCTTACTTATGTAGCAATATACCCTTATCACCTGCATAAGGGGTTTATGTCTCTCAGTTAATTCGATACACAAGAGCATGCTCTACGTATGAACAATTTCTAAAACGAGGCAAGCTATTGACAAACAAGTTGATGAAACGAGGATATCAACAGTCTTGTTTGAAGTAGTCTTTTCGCAAGTTTTACGGTCGATACAATGACCTTGTCAGCACATACAACCTATCATTGAGTCAAATGCTGACTGACGTTTTTCAACTACATTGCAATTGTTAGGCCATTATTTATACACTGAACTGTCTACGGATTTCTCCGTTATTACCCGATCATGACAAGGAGCACACGGCGGGTGTGACCGGTCGGCAGGGGATGCTCACTCCTCCATGGCACCTGATCCCACCTCTAAATTTTGAGGTCCGTGTTTGCTCTGCTCCTATTTTGTATTGTTTCATTGGACTTTCGAGATTGAATACTGTTCGTTATCTTCATATTTCATTCATAGTTATAGAAAAGGTTAATGTAAAAGAAAAGAAATACTATTAAAATCTTACGTGCTTTAGAACACATTAACTTTATGAAAGAAAAGACCTCAACAAATTTTTTTGGCAGTTATTCTATTGTTTATGTATGTTTTGTCGGAACATTCAATAACGAAAAGTAATTTTTGAAAGAAAAAATAATTCCCAAGAAAATAACTTTTAGTCTACCTGCTATAGGAGCTCCGAGAATTTGACCTATGGACATTTCAGCTAACACTACTGCATACGGAAGAGAAAGTTTATTTGGCCCAAACATTTCCATCAGTATTGCCGGAATTAAGGATCCACCGTTGGCAGCATTGCTTGCCCCAAACAAAATACAGTACGCTATAAGACCACCATAGCCAATATCTACCAGTAAGATTGGGGTAGCTAGGCCACCGATTAAATAAAAGATAATATACTGATTGATGGCCTTGAAGATAGGATGGACCTTGTGGTAGTCTGCAATGAGTCCCTGTGATATTTTAGCAATGGTAATGGAGATTCCAATGATAGAGTACAGAAAGGCAGCATCGTTTTTGTTAATATGTAAATGAAACTGTGCGTATGCTGCAAGATGTCCATATATAATGGAAGAACCAAATGAAAAGAGAACATTATTTATAGAAACGAAGTGGAAAACTAAACTTTTGAGAAATGTCCAGTCATTTGGTTCAGGCACGTGTGAAGATGCACGATGACTCTTCTTTTTAGTTGGATTTTCGTTTTCATCTATATTTGGGAGCGGACGATAGAGAAGTCCAAAAACGCATATGTGAAGCGCAATTCCTCCCAGAATCATAAACATTCCCTTCCATCCAAATTCAAAATTCAGATATCGAACAATTGGTGGGAAAACAAAAGAACCAAGCCCACCACCCGCCGACGCCAAACCGACGGCAAGGTTTTGTATCTTCTTATGCTGGAAGTACTTCGGCACAGCAATACTTCCACTCATGTAGGCGATTCCACAACCTGCACCTTTAAAAGTCAAAATCGTAATTAATGTAAAAATAAACTCAATATTGCTACACTAGCTGTGCAAAAATTCTTTAGCCGAAAAAGCTGCTGGGACTTTGCTTTCACTTATTTTATCTTTTAGTTTTGTTTCAGTGAGCTGTAGATTGGTAGACAGAAAATTCAACAAAATAAGTGTAAGGCAGAAAGAGTTTGATTTTTCACTTTTCGGGGAATGAGCAAAAATGCAGACTTAACCTTTTATTTTACAACAAGTATTGCTTTAGGATTTTGTATGAATTCCTAGGAAGTTGAGATAAGTCGGGATAATAAATTGGAAAGCCAGAAACGAATTGTCTTTGTATATCTTAAATATTGGAGAATGGCTGAGGGAAGATTATTAAATATTAATATTTTAAGTGAACAACGACACATTGTTACTGTTCCTCTGATCAAAAATGAGATTGGCTTTTGCTAAACAATGAATTTTTCATTTGAGTAAAAGAATTAAGAGAATTTAACCAACAATTCTTATATATTTCTAGAAATTTGGAGAAATACAAATTGCCAAAGTTAAAGAAATTATACCGTTATGCTGTCTTGTGACACGATAGCGGTGTTTTTCTTTGAAGTTTGCTGTTCTGTATAGCAATACAGAACGAGACTACAGTGGGCGGAGCTACTTTCCGTTCTGTATTAGCCCTATATACTGTCTTGTATTAGCCAACTGTTCTGTATCTAAAATACAGCACGGTCTAAAAATAAATCTGATTCAATTTATCAAAGGCACGTACAAATAGTAAATGCTGATTTCTTTTACTATTATAAATTTTGGAGAAATATTTCCTTAGGAATGTAAAATGTCAAAATTTTTCAATCACTTTTAAAAAAAAATATTCCACACAGAATCTACACGTTATTTCGATCCAAACGAAAAGGAAAATTCGCAATTATGGAAAACATCCTATGTTGGATAAATTCCTGAAAACCTGTTTGCTTTCCCTGCTTTTTGTGTCCCCTTCAAAATAGTAAAGCCAATGGGTTCACGGATGCAGCATACATTAGGTGAAATTCGCACTCCCCTTCCACCCATTTTCCACTCTTCTCGTGCAAACTCAATCAAATCCTTTTTTTCAAGTTTTTTTTCTTCAATTTCATCTTAAATCCTTATCGCTGACGACTGCAACACATCTCTTTCACTTCGTTTTTAATGTCGCATTTCAATAAGAAAATAAAAATCCGTAACATCAAAGTCCATCGAAAAACTGTCTGTATCGCCTGTATGTGTATCTAGTTAAACTGAGATTTCAAGACCTCTGAAATAAATTAGGATCAATCTCCATCTACAACAATGTTAAATCGTCCACCTATCAATTAAGACTGACTTCAAGTCTGCTACGTCTACCCCGTTGTCAAAACTAATCTGACTAAATCTTACGTTGTCCGTGGAAATATATATACTGCGGGTGTATACTCCCCGTCGAGGCCTCATCTACAGAGAGAACAAACGAACTCTGGCGGAAGTTTGGATGCTGCACAGCTATAAAGTGGGCGGTGCTGCTTTTTTTTTTCTTTTTTTCTTTTTTTTTTTGATTGATCGTGTCACAAATAATTTAGAGAACTCGACAGGTTCTGTATCGTAGATACAAATTTGGGGGTGGAAACTACGCACTCGTCCACCCCCAAATTTGTATCTACGATACAGAACCCGTCTCGTTCTCTAAATAATACATAACGCATTGTGTTCGACTTTTACCATTTGCCCTCATAGGTAAACTGAAAGCTACCTTGAATTTTCAAAATATTTTATTTGTTTCATTAGTTTTAAGAAATCATCGACTAATATAAACGATAATTTGAAAAGATATTTTAAACTGGATTATATGCAATAAAATCTATCTTAATCTGATACCTGTCAAAACACCATAAAACAAGCATAGTACGAAGAGGTTGGTCGACAGAGTACTCAAAAGGAGGCCGCCACAGGTCAGTAACCCCCCACAAAATGTGACCACTCGCCATCCGAATTTGTTCACCAACACTCCAGCTAGAGGCGCTGTAAAGAAAGGTATTGCGTGATTTAAGAGTATAATCAGTTGATACATAGAGGGGACATATTCTAAGAAAAGACAACATGAGAAAATTTAGTAACTGTTACATGTAATTCAGGGTTTAGGGTTTCATTATGCTAGAAGGAATAAATTTGAACAAGCAGTTTGTCATTCTACCAATTTATGTAAGTGCGTAATATTAAATATACAAGTTTCTCTATGGTGAAATAAAATCTGCAGATAAAAACTAACTGTTATTGGGTCTGTGATTCTTATGATTTTGTATTTTCAAATTATGAAGTCCCGTTTCAATTTTTAATATTAAATTGCATGCTCATTCTTTCATAATACATTTTTAGTTCTTCTGAATATAATTACTCTTAGCTCAGACATTTTCTACCTTAGGTAGTAAGGCAACAGTCGAAACGAAAGATACTCCTACCAAACAAATCTGTTTTCCTTTTTTCAAGACAGTATACTACTTAAAATCAGACTTACTAGAATTCGTCCGACTGACTTGAATTCGTCCGTTACTTCAAACCTTTTTTACCAATATGGACTGGAAAAGAGAAATTTAGTTAGAAAACAAAGAGATTGTTAGTTTGTTGTATACATACCTCTTTTTACCTCTCAAGTACTGAGTTTCCTGAAAATTTGCAAAATTACCTGCACAACAATAGTGTTATCTGCAATCACTTACTGATAACGAACGTCATTGCAGTAATTAGTGACGAAATCCATGATGTTTCTGCAGCCCCGGTCTTAAAATTCTCAAGAATGATAACGTAAACTACACCAGAAGTGTATGAGATTCCATAAACTAGGATCCTGATTATAGCAGCTACAAGCACCACGACCCATCCGTAGTACACATTACCCAAACACATTGTCATTTTCACCTGCCACTTTGCGTGTGTATTTCCCCTCAATAGTTTAACTAAAGATTTATCCTCATAGTCTGAAAATTACAGAAAAAATTAAGATACATGTATTCATGATTTTATGTTGGATGGTGTCTACCATTATTTTAATTGGATAAGTGTCCTAGCTTGACTGTTACTTGTAGTGTGCATAAGAGATTACATTTGCAAATGTTTTTCCTTATATAACACCATTTGAATTATATATGCATATCTATCACTGTATAAATATAGATTTGTCACATGACCACAAATTCAATGGTTGACTTAATTTCTTAGTGACGTCATAAAGGACCGAAGATTTTATTTCTTCGGGAAAAAATGCCTGTCATGGACTAATCAAGATTGTAACCGTGCAAATATAAATTCTATGATACGGTAATAAATGTACATGTAAGTAATAAGGTTTCACTTTTACACATCTATGGGGAGATTAGATACGGACAGACACGTGATCACGTAACCAACCCCCTATATCTATATCCCGGGCGGTAGACCTTTCGGGTGTCATATAGTGTGTTAAGCCTTACCTTAGTTTGAATCCCTCTTCCAAATATCAGATTTTTGATTCAGTCATCGTGATTTACTTATGGAATATGACATGCCCTCACCCAAAGATGCATTAATTGACAAGTTCTTATAATTCTACGTTTCAGTCTGATTTAATCTCGAGATGAATTGAGTATGTATAACCACAAAATTCCAATATGAGGCCACAGCGTTTTACTTCTAGGGTGCAGCATGTTTTGACGACAGACCCTGGCACAAAAGGCAACAAACGGGATCCCCACCATGCATAAAAGCGCCCTTCAGAAAGGAGTCTTAAAGTTCAAAACCTGTGACACAAGTAGCCCATTGTAAATTCTCAGATTCCGCATCCATAAAGTAGAATGTTTGCTTTACCTCACGTTTTCGCCATTGCAGAAAATTTTCATTGCATTTCTGTAATAAATTCATCTCAGTGCACATGTTGTCATCCCTCTTTCCCTCTCCACTCTTGTTTTTTCCCCATTGTTCTTATACCACTACAAGCATTTAATGTCTATGGCATTCTTTTTAATAACTAACTTATAAATCATACTTAGTAATTTGCAACTAAAATTGAACAAACCGTGTCACCAATTTGATTAAATTGCATGCTTATGTAGTTAATGCATTTAAAACGACCTTTGATATCTACTACTGAGCGAATGCCAAATAATCAGTACACTTTAGGCTAAAAGTTCCCGTGCACCTGTTAAGTAAAACTTATGAAGGTAAAAATGTAAATATAAATGATTTACACCACAGAGAACTTTATAACTTTCCTTTTACTGTTGAAGATATAATTTTTCACTCAGCAAATGTCACCTTCCAATTTTTAAGACATCTTAAATGTGTGTGTGTGTGTGTTGGGGGAGGGGGGTTAGAGCCTCCCTTTCTCTCACCATTTTTTCCTCCCTTCTCCCCTTCCCCCCTCCCTCACCCCACCACTTCTCCTAATCCAATATACCCTGTCCGCCTCCTTTATTTGAATTCTACGTGCTTTGCTTCTTTATCCATATCATTCCTTAACATTTTTAAAAGCATATGAAGACGCTTGGCAGAGAAATATTCCCTAAAAATCTTACATAATTCTAACCTTGATCATATTTAATCAACTCATTATATAATTAAAGGTTACTAGGAATGCCCAATGTCCCCTCCTCTCCTGGGAACGAAAGTGACAATAAAAGCCAAATATCTTTCAAAAGTGAAACGTTATCCTGAACTTACCTATTGTTTAGTGTGGTTCACATAATGTGTTATGTGATGTGCATACATCTCAGTTCGCCTACAAATCTATAGGCAAATATAAATTCTTTCACGTGTGAAAGCATGTGCTACATGAATCACTATTAATAACAACGTAAGAATAAAAAAAAAAAACAACATTGTCCACAAGTTCGTTTGTTTCACATCTAATCCGCATTATATGTTATAAAAAAGCTTAACTATTATATTTAAAATGAAATATTTAAAAGAAAAATTACTCGACAAAACCAGATTAAAAATATCTAGCTGGATGGTTTCCAGTTTCTCGATGGAATTTTCCCTTGTTCCCCAAACGTTACAAAGTTTACTGACCCTCTGATAAGGGAGATATCTTTGATGGGGATTAATGTCTATTATTCCTTTTAAAAACTTTAAAAAGGCGATTTATGTCAAATTTTGCACCGCATGGTATGCTGGTATTGTTCCCGTTTCCATTATAATTTAGATTTCTTTTGGTAAGTTTTATAACGTAAATATATAATATTTTTACTGCAAGAGTCTTTAAAACTCAGATAAGATATTGTATTTAGAAGGAGAAGCGTGTGATGACAAATAGATTAGAGAAACAAAACCTTCAAAGCAGAGTGGATCGGGACGGGACCGCCTATTCCCATTCCGTACTCTCAAGGCTTTTTGTCTTATTTTGTCTTAAATTATTTTTCTATGACATATCTATGAAATATTCCAATTGAAAAAATCAAAAATAACCTAAAACAGACCTTAGGTGGAAAAAAAAGTCATGTGAGTGTATCATTCACCCTTGAAATGCTCTTACAAGAGAAATAATAAGTTATTCAGCACAAATACTGTTCTTGAAGGTTGCATTTTAAGGTGTGCTTCTCTTTAATATCAGGGTTATGCAAAACTGTAGTGTGGATTTGTTTTAAAAATGATCTATGATTGATTTGGCAAAAAGGGTTAAGTATTTGATTTGAAAAAGTGTTACTCTTTGTCGAAGTACCCCGTTTGCTCATCTGAGGCTAATTCTCATGCGAGTTTTTAACTGATATTTTTGTTGGCATTTCTGTATTTGTCACGAGTAATTTTTCAAGGATCCCCCCCACACAAACAATTTTGTTTGTTTGTTTGTTTGTTGTTTAACGTCCCTCTCGAGAATTTTTTACTCATATGGAGACGCCACCACTTGCCGGTGGAGGGCTACAAATTTTGACCTATACTCGGCACTTACGGCCATTGAGCAGTGAGGGATCTTTTTCGTGCCACACCTACTGCGACACGGGACCTCTGTTTATACGGTCTCATCCGAAGGACCGGCCAAGTTTTCATTTGTTGGTTATTATCAAAATGAGTTATCAAATATGATTCTTGTTTTCGTTGGCGGGTTTAGAATATCGTTTTTGCAAGATTGTGACTCTATGAATTCTAATGATTTGTTCATTTACTGTACATTTTGTTACAACACTTGTCAGGGTGGAAAAGGTAATAAAAAAGAAAAAATAAATTTAAAGACATTTCAACCACAAAGTGAAATTTATTTGGAACATCTTATAAAGATATACCTATAAAATTTGTATAACAAATATGATATGGATATTAGTGTAACCAATATCACAATACAATCACAGTCGTCAATAATATACACAAAAATGAATGCACCAAATCTTGGAGTATAACAGGCATGTCAAAAAATGACATGATTAAAAATTAAGAAATAAGAGCATGACATTCAATACAAAGTAAAGATATCTAATAGATATATATAGACCAGATGTTTTGAGATTACTTGAAAATAAAAGTCATAAAACAACGCAAAGTAATGTATAATCAACTAAGTGGTGAATATAAATTCCGTCTTCCTTGATTTTTTGTCAAACACGTTATGACATACTGGGTATCTAGACAATCCCTTCATAGTAAACTTTTTGCATAGGATTTAATAATCCACTATGTGTATGCAGATCGTAGATTTGCAACTCTTTTGAAGACATTGCAAAACATTGACAAAGGAAGATAAGGCAGTTGACATCACTGTAAAACTCTCATTAATTCTAAATGATTTGATTAATTCAGATTACGTACCGTAACATTTACATGTACAACAAATATACAGGTTAGAACGTTATTTCCCCTGACATCATTGATAAATTTTCACCGGAAGCTTTTGTACAAAGCTATACATATATTAATCTAAGGTTATTTCAACTAATAAGCAACAATGTTGTAATAACGAATCAAACATTTTTCATGCCATTATAAATAAACGAATGCAGCAGTGCTTTGGCCTTCAAACTGAACAGACAAGATTGTGTTTTCTTTGTAAAAATCTATAAAAGAGTATGTCTTCGATAAAACCATGCAAAGTCATCCAGATAACATTATTAAAGGTAAGATTTGGTGAGTAAAACCGATTCCTCATTAGTATTGTAAATCTATGAGATTACGTTTCTCTTTGTAAAGACTTCATTTTGATTGATTTAACTTTATTTGATTAAAGGGGTCTGAAATTAATAAGTTTGAAACATCTTATTACAATGAAAGCAAATTTCAAACGATATAAGCACGAAGCATAAGAACAAGACTTTACAGAACTCTAACATGTACAAAGAATAATGAAATGAAAATTAATAGGAGTATTCAAAAACATTGCATTGAGATTCAAATAAACTAAACTTTGATATAAAAAAAACATAGGATTAGTACGTTCAAACCATTTAAATGCACTTGAAACTGTAACATTCTCACAACTAAAATGTTGATATCAGGGGTTTCTTATAATCAAAATTCTCTGATATAAATGAAAAAAAAAAACTTGAGGGCCCTAGCCTTTATTATTGTATATTTTTTGGAACCCGAAGTTAACGACCGTTCGTGTTCCAGACTACCTTGGTTTGTGTCAACACGTCACTTCCTCTGCCTGTGGCGTAATTAAGCTTGTCCTCTCAGATACAGTCTTCACCTGAATCTGTTGATCTTCCTTGTCGTCTGTTCGTATAAAATTTGGTGGATTTTCTTCTTTGATATGATCATTGTTTTCAATGAAACTTGTAGCTTCTTTTGATTCATTTTCACTCAAAAATCGATCGAACTCCTGTACTTTTGGAATGTCAATATCTACTACGATTATGCTTTTGTCTTCGTGTGGCCTCATCAGATATCGGCGTGGATACACCATGATGATTGCGCTAGCTATCATGAACGCCGATGCTAAGAGAAATGGATAGTGGTAATTCTTGGTGTCCTCGTATATCCAACCTAAAATTATTTTTTTTTAAAGTCATAACTAATTTTATTATTATCAAAATTTGCATTTCTTTTAATCTTGTGACATTTGAAAGTATTTCAAAAATGTAATTACCGTACGGTCGATTTTCACATATTTTTTTTATAAAAAGACGGGAGAATTAATATGTATTTCAAAATATATTTCCAAGTTTTGAATTTCACACACACACAGAGAGAGAGAGAGAGAGAGAGAGAGAGAGAGAGAGAGAGAGAAGAATGCATGTGATACTTTTCGCCAGAAAAAAGAACATTTTTGTTGGATTTTACGCTTATTTTATTAGACATGAAAGAAGAAGCTGAAAGTTGTCTTTTGCTTAAGGTAAATGTAGACCTAGTAAACTGAAAAGAAAAAAAAAACAATTTGCTATGCTTTTAGGTTTTAAAAAATACTGTGTTTATGAGATAATGCACCTCTTCGAAATTTTATTTTAGTTTACTTTTAATATTTTGTTGCGTTTTAATCTATGACGAACAGTAATTTTACTAGAGAAAAAAATCAGCTATTACTACCTGCCACAGGTGCTCCAAGAATTTGACCTATAGACATTTCAGCTAATACAACGGCATACGGAAGGGAAAGTTTATTTTGCCCAAACATTTCCATCAGTATTGCTGGAATTAAAGATCCACCATTGGCAGCCATGCTCGCTCCAAACAGAATACAATAAACCACTAGTCCGCCATAACCGGTGACCACCAGTAAGAATGAGGTAGCCAGGCCACCGATTAAATAAAAGATAATATACTGATTGATGGCCTTGAAGATAGGATGGACCTTGTGGTGGTCTGCAATGAGTCCCTGTGATATTTTAGCAATTGTGATGGAGATTCCAATGACTGAGTACAAAAAAGCAGCATCCTTTTTATTTATATTCAAATGAAACTGTGCGTATGCTGCAAGATGTCCATATATAATGGAAGAACCAAATGAAAAGAGAAAATTATTCATTGAAACGAAGTGGAAAACTAATCTTTTGAGAAACGTCCAGTCATTTGGTTCAGGCACGTGTGAAGACGCTCGTCGACTCTTCTTTTTAGTTGGATTCTCGTTTTCATCTGTATTTGGGATCGGACGATAGAGAAGACCAAAAACACACATATGAAGTGCAATTCCTCCCAAAATCATAAACATTCCCTTCCAGCCATATTCATAATCCAGATATCGAACAACTGGAGGGAAAATAAATGCACCAACTCCGCCACCCGCCGATGCCAAACCGACGGCAAGGTTTTGTATCTTCTTATGCTGGAAGTACTTCGGCACAGCAAGACTCCCACTCATGTAGGCAATTCCACAACCTGCACCTTTAAATTCAAATTTGTAATTAATATGAAAAATAACCCACTAATGCTGCAATATGTAAAAATACTTTTTCAGAAAAAATTGTCTGAAGGCTTTGTTTTAGTTAAATTATGTTTGATATGTCTCAAAAAGAAGCAGTTGTCCGCCTGGGTTTTGGAAGGACAAGATAGGGTAAGACCCCTTCCTGGCCCCTGTTTTGGAATGTCTCTTAGAATGATGCAATAATTCATAATCAGAAACGTCTTGTTATACCTGTCCTTAAATCAATATTGATTCTAAGGAATTTGGTGCGCAGAAGTACGAATTTTCTTTTTTATTTTCATCATTTCTAAAGCACTTTTTTTTTCCAGAAAACACAGCTATCTACCAAATTTATTTTTTTTTCACTAGTATCAGATATATGTGAATGAAAATCTCAGATACTGAGGCAAGATTGTGCTCTATATTTCCTGAAGTGAAAAGTATCTCAAATTGGCGTAATTCAGTGGGATAGGATCTGAGAAAATTCAGTAAAATATATTTCAATTTGTCATCCCTATGTGACCTCGGCGTATACTTTGAATCGCAATCAATGCTGATTCTAAAATAAGCATCATTTAAAATTCTTAACTCTACACTATCATAACTTTAACAGTGTTCTGTTCAGTGTTCAGTTTTATATCAAGTAAGGGACCAAATTCGGCTTTTACCATACCCTGTTCTCAGGGAATATAGGAGCAAATGCAGATTGAGCCTCGTATAGTTGACTGGGTTTTTCTTAAAATTTGAATTTTGTATGAATTCGTAGATTCGCAGAAACAAGTCATGGATATCTTTTAGTTTAGAAAAATGGCCATTTGAATTTATCAAAGATTAAAAGTATTGATGTTTGTAAAATTTTGATTACGAGTAATTAACGGTCGTTTGTTTTTATTCCACTGAGATTCACATCAAAGACAGAGTGACTGTAGTTTAATGATGAATGTTTTATAATGAGTAAACATATTTTGACAACAAACAGTTCTTACATAATTCAAAAATCGGGAAAAAAGTATTTTATCAATTGCCCTTAACGCTAGTTAAATGAAAAGGTATTTGAAGTTGCACGTGTCTTTATGTTTTTGCATCAATAGCTTTTTTTAAAATTATCTTCTAACAAGAGGTCAATATGAGCCACATAGCTCACCTGAGTAAATATGGCCCTTCTTCTCGATCAGCAGATTTTTCTTCCATTACATTCTTATGTAAAATTTTGATCGCAGATTGTAGCACAACCCTATCCCAGGGGGTCTAATTTGAACAAACCTGAATCTACACTACCTGAGGATGCTTACATATAAATATGAGTAATCAAGGTTTTGCTGTTTTAGAAGATTTTTAAAGATTTTTCGTATGTTTTCCTCCTGCCCATTGTGGACCCACCTTACACCCCACCCGGAAGGAGGGGGGGGGAGGTCATGTTTTGAACAAACTTGAATCTGCACTACCTAAGCATGTTTCGAAATAAATAAGACTGAACATTGTTGTACTGTTCTTGAGAAGAAGATTTTAAAAGATTTTTCATATATATATATATATATATATATATATATATATATATATATATATATATATATATATATATATATATATATATATATATATCATATAAAAATTTTTTGCCATAAGTGACCCCATCCTACCCCCGGAGCTCATGATTTGCACAAAATTGAATCTGCACTACCTAAGGATGCTTCACAATAAATATGACTATTCATGACTTTGCTTTTCCCTGGAAAAAGATTTTTAAAGATTTTTCCTATGTATTTCAGCTTAAAACTTTTAATGCTCATTGTGGCCTCACAATACCCCAAGGGGACATGATTTGAACAAACTTGAATCTACACTACCTAAGGATGCTTCCATATAAAAATGAATGATCATGGTTTTGCTGTTTTTAAGAAGATTTTTTAAAGATTTTTTTTTCTATATATACCAGTGTAAAACTTTTTTACCCAATTAAAGTGGCCCATTCCGATCTACACTATGTCAGGAATCTTACATGTAAATTTTCTCTTTTCTTGTCCAGTGGTTCTTGAGAAGAAGATTTTTGAAAGATCCTACCTAATTTTCACCATTTCTAAATTATTTCCCCTCGGAAGAAGGTGTGGCCCTTCATTTGAAGCAACTTGAATAATTTTGCCTAAGGATAGTCTGTCCCAAGTTTGGTTGAAATTGGCCCAGTGGTTCTGGAGACGACGATGACATTATAAAAAGTTTAGGACGCAGACAACAACGACAGACAACGGACAGATTTTGATCAGAAAAGCTCACTTGGGCCTTCGGCTCAGGTGAGCTAAAAATGATCGACAGTTTGTTAAAAAAGTTTTGAGCTAGATTTTACGTATTATAAAACCAAAATACCTACCTGTCATTACTCCATAAAACAAACATAGAAGTATGAGGTTGGTCGATAGTGTACTCAGAAGGAGGCCTCCACAGGTCATTAGTCCCCCACAAAAAGTGACCACTCGCCATCCGAATTTATTCACCAACACCCCTGCTAGAGGCGCTGTAATGAAAGTTATCAGGTGCCTAAAGAGTCCTTTTTGACAAGAAAGATTCAAAGACATATTATAAGATTGAATGATGGACTGCATGTTGTTTTACGTCCAATTCGAGAATTTTTCACTCATGTAGAGACGTCATATTATAAGCCAACATGCAGTTTTAAAATTTTGAGGTCATTGTTTTATATGGTATATCAAAAGGTTTACATGTATATGAGTGTAAAAAAAGTGAAATTAAATCTATTAATGAACACTCACTATTTTCGGGAATGTGTTTTTTTATGAATATCCCATTTCCAAGGGGAAACGATTCATTTTTTGGTGTGACAATACGAAGTGACGCTTCCTCTTTCATAAGTCAGAATCCTTTTTTTCATTAAAGAAACTTAAAAAAATTTCTACCTTGCCTTATGTATAAATGCTTGTCAAGTGACAAAAGCACTGATACTGCCACCCATCACAAACGATGTCCTTTTTATCAAAGAGAGTATACACTGTACTACTAGAAATCAGACTTACTAGAATGCGACGTCGTACAACTGACTTCAAAACGTCCGATACTCCTAACCTTTTTTTACCAATATGGACTGGAAAAAACGTTGAGAAGAGAAATTTTAGTTTGAAAGCAAAGACATTTTTGTTTGTTGTATACGTACCTCTCTTAAGGTCTCATACACGGAGTTACCTGAAAATTTGCAAAATTACCTCTACTGTGACAGTGTCGTCTGCTGAAACTTACTAATAAGGAAAGTCATTGCTGTGATAAGTGAAGAAATCCATGATGTCTCTGCAGCCCCAGTCTTAAAATTCTCAAGGATGACAACGTAAACTACACCAGAAGTGTATGAGATTCCATAAACCAGGATTCTGATTACCGCGGCTGCAAGCACGACGACCCATCCGTAGTACACATTACCCAAAGAAGTTGTCATTTTCACTTGTCACTTCGCATGTGTATTTCCTCCAATGTTACCCTCATAGTCTGAAACTGAAGAAACTAATCTAAGATATTAATGATCTTGTAATGTTAGATTGTGTATAGTCTATTACTAGTATTGGATGTGTCCAAGCTTGACTCTTTCTTGCAGTAAATTTCAGATGGAAAGTAAAAATGAAGGCCTTTGGGGAGTTAAATGGAATACTTTAAAGCCTTCTCTTGTTTGCACTTCATCTGTCTCAGCTTTGGAAATGAATTTGAATTATATGGTCCTTTTGTCTAAGTAGCATTTATATATAGAAAAAAGTTTTCTGAATATTAATCCTTTGGGTGCAATCTGAATGCCGTATTCGTCATTTTCAAGATGAAGTACATCTCTGTGCACACCAAAGTCGTAGTCTGAGTCTTGCAAGGTTCCAAGTTTGTGAACCTTCTTAATCTGTAGATCGATGAATCTCTTTTTCAGATTTTTTTTGTTTTGAATAAATGTTGAGAATCTTGATTTATATACAATATACTTCTGTGTATAATTGAATTTGCTTGGTTGTTTTTGCTGATGTTTTCAAGAATACTTAAAGGTAACATAATCTCTACTTTGTTGTATTTTTTTAATTTTGGGACATTCTTCTATAGTGTAGATCACATTTTATTCGGATTCGGAAGAACTTTATTAATCCACCTCTTTGATCTACCTTTGAATCACACTTTCCTTACAAAAAACATCAACTGATAAAGTTTGAATTCAGATCCAATTATGCAAGGCATGGTCAGTACATAAGATAAGATTTATTGATACCAATTTGGGGCCCCTCAGCGGATACAAGTAAAGAATAATACACATAAACATATGATAAATAGAAATTCAAAATTGATAGCAGCAACATGTCGAGAAAAGAAACTAACTAAAGAAGATGTTAATGATTATAGCAGATGATTCCTGATTAGATCCTAAGAGCAGGCCATACTTCTGAGCCATGGCACACTATCCCCTTGATATATCAAACAACAAGGTTGAAGATTCTAATTCCCACATTTATGCAAAATTTAATGTGGATATGATTTGACTATGTACATGATGTATAACTAATTAACTATAGAATTTCAGATTGACGTTATCAAGACCTACTTTTGGATCATGACACAATTTCCTCTTAGCCTCTTAGGATGCATTATAAACGACAAGGTTTGATGATTGTAGGTTTCATGCTGAACACAAAAACGTTCTAAATCATTGACTATGTATACCATTTTATTTAAAAAAAAAAAGTTGCAGCGTTCCACTTTCAAGTTTCGACCCACCTATGTCCGAAGATGCATCAGCTGACATTAGTGTTGATGGTACTACAAGTACTTGTGGAGAGGACTCTTAACCATCAACACTCTGTTCATATTAAAACACTTGATGACTATGTACAGTATTGGCTTATTCGCTGTTATGTTTATCATAACTTGTAAGTATTGATCAAAGTTTCTCACTATTCAGTAATTAAGCTGATTTGTATACTCAAGTAGAGAACTGCTGAGTATCCGACTAGAAGGTCAATTCTTCAGTGACACTTAATGTTCTCTGGCACCTGTTTTATTTTTAAAACAGAGGAAGGTAAAATATAAATAGGGTTGAGGTATATCACAGAGACCTTTTAAATCTGAACCAATTGTATATTTTATGACTTTCCCCCAGCTGATGTCACCTTGTAAACAGGATCTCATTAATATTACTATTAGGGTAGACATCGAGAGGTCCATTTCTTGTCTACCTCTCTTAACTCCCTCCTTTCCCACTCCCTCATCATCCCACCCCCTTTCTCCCACACCCATTTACTCTCAACATGCCCTAATCTCTCCGTTAATAACACTTTCTGCATCTTTGCTGTGTCATTCCCTCACAACTCTAAAACACATGAAGATGTTTGACAGAGACTTAAAAATATGTAATATTAATTTAACCTTAATGTGATTTCATCAACAAATTACACAAGTAAAGGAGGCTAGATAGACTCAGCCTCCGGAACGAATGTGACAAGATCTTAAGTGAAAACTAAATAATCCTGGACTTACCTCGTTTAATTATGGCGGCAGCATACTCAATGTAGCCACATTGTTTAGTTTCGTTCACATAATTTGTGTTGTGATGCGCATGCATCTCGCTACCTACAAATCAATAGACGAATACAAACTCGATCACGTGCGGAACGCATGCTACATAAATATCACATACGGAAGTTATACTAGTAAAGTTTGAGAAGTTGTTGTGTCACACACGTAATCCGCACTTAAATTAGTCATTATGTGTTGCAAAATAATTTACATATTACATAATTTAAAAATTTAAAAAGGAAAAGTAAGACAAGAAAAGAATGAAATAATTCACAGGCTGTTTGGTGCATGGTATGAAAATTGGTGAATTCGGTCCGTGTTCCAAAGCCTTACAAATCAGCTGATTTAAATCTATGTAATCTAATTACTAATTGTAGTAATTGGAAAGTGACCAAAAAAGTAAAAAGGGACAATTAACTGACCTGCAAAACATATCTTTTTCCAAGGTTAAAAATTACATACGTCTCCAAGTTAAAAATGGTTTTGAGTGAATGCTAAGGCTAGCAGAAAAATAAAAGATTCGTTTGATTAAACAAAGACGCCACGTTACATGACCCTGGATTAAAATAGTTAAATCTCATACTGAAAATCAGTTCAAAGTCCATTGCATTTTTAACAATTTAAAAGAATGCATGACTCAGCATTTGTGAGGTACATGAAGTGTAAAAAAAAAATACATACTGTGTTATATTTCATTATCTTAGAGAGACATTTATATCTTTTAGGCTTTTTCTGCATGGGACAAACTTAATGGGGGTAGGGGTGGGGGTGGGGGAATTGGGATAGGGGGTCGGATGTGAACAGCAAACCCATCGAAGGCATTTAAATTGAAAAATCCACATTGTTTGACAAGTAATGATAACTTGCACTTAATGTAATGACATAACTGGTAAAACACGTCCAGAAATGCAAAATATATATTGTCATGTATGATGCTGAAAATAAGAGAGACAAATAATGAAAGTCTCGCCAATATTCCATTTGAGAACATACTACAAGCATAAAAAATGGATGCATATATTAGTATATATTTTTGTACTTATTTTGGATGTAATAAGCATACATCAAATCTTTATAATGTTAAGAAATTGTGGACTATATTGGAATTTCTTCCTTTTTACCATGAAATATGGAGATAACGAACAGTAATCAAGTTGAAAAGCCCATTGAAACAATACAAATCGGGAGAAGAGCAAACACGGACCTCTGAAATACATTTAGAGGTTGGATCAGGTATCATGGTCTCATGGAGGAGTTATTCTTATACATCTATATAGTTTTGTATCACTGTGTAGGACATTGAGAAACTATGGATGAAAAATGCAACTTTATACACTTAAAGCTGAACACGCTTCGTAAAAAGAATCTGTCCGCCATATTCAACTGGACTCTTGCTATATCTGAGAGCCCCTATATATAGAGTCGCTCACTTGGTCACTGTTCAGTGTAATCAATTGTCACCGGTGTAGACGGACGTATGCGATAAAGCACTTGGTAGCGCCAAAAATAACTGTGTGCTTCTTCTAATGCAGGAGAGTAAGATACCAAAGAGATTTACAACAGTTGCACAGGTCAGTGCAGTATACAAACAAACACAAATATACGTAACTGCAATAAAATGTAAACAAAAGTAATGCAAGATAACCAGCAAGAACACGGGTCGCCATTCCACGCCGATACCCGTGACAATAAAGCAGTCAGGTGTAACGAATGCGAAGCGTATACCCTGGTGCTGATATCTTAGATAGTAATATCAAAAATGGCGTATGCCTATTTACGAGTCGTGTTCAGCTTTAACTTACTATACTTTTCACTTATCTAGAATAAATTTTATTTTAGTTCTAAATTTCATAATTTGGGGGAAGTTTTTTTGTTTGATCTGTCCTTAAAGTGCCAGGTCAGATAAAATTGATTTCCTCTGTTCATTGAGGAAAAAGTCACGTGATCGTAATTAATTAAAGTTACAATTAAACATTCATTTGAGACAATAATTCCTCCATTGCAAAACAGCTATATGTCCAATAAAATATTTTTAAAAATGATTATTTGTTGTTTGATTCCTGAGATACCAAGTATATCAATTTGATAATTATTTGATACACTTTAAAACTGCATGATAGCAGAAAAGAATTCAAGTGCCTCTATAGACTGAGAAAATAAAATATATTACTTATAATGCATAGTTAAAACACACACATTTATAGAATGAGATAAGTACATTTATTACATTTTCAACAGTGAAATGCTGTGATTTATTTAATGAATAAAAGTGATATTCTCTCACAGTGTGAAAGGATACCAAAGTGATATTCTCTCACAGTGTGAAAGGATATCAAAGTAAGTAAAAAAGAATTTCTGGACTTAATAAGAAAGAAATAGTAACTAAACTGTCTTGATAGAGACTAAAACTGCAATTTCTAACCAAATATGTTGCTTAAATCCATGTTACAATGTTTCCAAACTAACATAGCTTGCTAAACTATGATGTCTCAACCGCTCAACTATGACCTCATAGCCTATGGCACTGTGTTAAGAAAAGACAAAAGTAAAGCGAAAATCAAAGAAAATTTAATAAACAGAAAATTCAATATTTTTTAGTTGGATATGGAATTTATTTCACGAGTGGGACAGGATTTTTTTTCTTCATATTTTCACTCATGCTTCGCACTCGTGAAAATATGAAAAAATCCTGTCCCACTCGTGAAATAAATTCCATATCCAACTACAAAACATTGAATATCCTCTATGTACATAACATTATTTTAACGGGGGTTAAATGCTGGTTCTGGTCTAAAGGGGTGATACTTAAATGCCATTAAAACCTGAATTAATTCCCATCTCCTCATAATAAGTTCTGTCAAATGCCACATGTACACCTCATCGCGGGGGCCTTGGAAATGCGGTACAAGTAATGGCAGAGTGGCAAAGGCAAAACGTAGAGTATCAGGCATCCTAAAAAAGCTGAAACCTATGGCTATGGGAAGGACACCTTAAACAGAAAAATCACGTCCTCCGGGTCCATGGGGGGAGCTTAGGGCTAATAAACTAACTTGTATTAATTTCATTGTTATAGGATACAGGAGTAACAAGAAAAATTTCTACGTAATCTGTAGATGAAAGCCTCTCAAGGATCATCACTGGAATCAGTATGAATAGGCAGTGAAAGCCATTGGGAAACTACCAACTTGAACAGGGTGGCCCTCAACACTGCAAAGACCAGGATCAAAATAGGATTTAGAATATACACACTATGTATGCCCCCCGCAAAGAGTTCTTTGCACAAATAACAGCAGAACGAGAAGATACAACCTTCATGTGCAATGAGTTAGTGAGAGCGAATGTACTGATTCAGGAAGAATAAGACCACAAAAGGTTATATACATTCTGTATTCTGATCGAGAAGATGGACAATATCATGAAAATGTAGAATTATACTAAAAAGGGGGCCTTAAAAGTCTTTGATGGATGGAAGTCTTTTTGGAACCCACCAAACCAAGATATTAAGATCACCATTGGTGATATAAATGCCAAAGTCTGAGAAAATAATAAATTATACATCAGAGCAATGGGAGAACAAGGTTGTTTAATAATGAATGAGAATAAAGAGAAATTTGCAGATTTACGTACCACCAACAACTATGTTTGGAAGAACACTATTTTTCCCGTCGAAATATTTATAAGATAGCCTGACACTCTCCAAACATGAGACAACCATAGGAATAAAGTGACACGAGTCAGGGCTGTAATCCAAAATTAATGTCACAACTACTTTAAAATCTTTTAATGATCGAATTATCAATATTTAACTATTGCCTTAAAATTTCATTCAATTATATATAACACTTTTTAAAATATTAAAATAAACACAAAGTTACGTTTTTATCTATCGCCGCACGGCAAAAGTTATGACGGTACTTTTTGGCACTCATTTTCTTTTCGTCTGCAAATCTTTATAACCTCTTACATGGTTCTATTTAATAATCTTTACTGTCGTTTTGCTATTAAACGTCTTGTTTTGAGTTGTAGTTTTAAAAATTAAATTATTTAAACTTTATCCACACGTTATTTCCATATTTATTCCTTTTGCGTAGATCTCAGGTATACTGTAATCAGATTCAAGAGTAAGTGATGTTAAAGGTTGAGTGATTGCCCCCATCACTCTCTTCTTTCCCTGTTGAAATGTTAAAAAAGTTTGGTAACCTTACTTAACGCCAGACGTGACGTTCAAAACACTGACAACCCATGAGGGAAATAATTCACATTATAAAGGTGCAAAAGTTGCATAAAATATATAAAAAAAAAAAACATGTAAATGGAAGTAAAAAGATGGGAAAAAATGCTTTGATAAAGAAAGTGTGTTGAAGATTATCCTTTCACTTTATTTTCCACCTGAATCCACCGCTAAGCAAAATCTAAATGTATGCGTAGTGGAATGGATATGCAAATGAACTATGGAAAGTTATTTTTAATAGCTCAAAGCTAGACGCTCTAGCACAAGTTGAGAGGGTAATAAAATAAAACGTATACGGGTATGTGTGAGATTTTGAAGATTTGTGGACGACCTGAAAATGAATGCCCAAAAGTAACGTCGAAACGACTCGGAAACATTATTGCACTGTGGCGATTGTCGAGACCTCACGTTGTGTTTATTGAAATATTTTTTTTAAAAAAGTATTTCATATATCTGAATGAAATTTTAAAGTAAATGTAAAAAAAAATATAGGTAAATGTATTCAAAATTTTATTGATAAATTTCGATTTTTAAAGATTCTATAGTAGTTGTGACATGACTTTTGAATCAACTCTCATATACAGAAGAAAAGGGAAAAGGTTTTCTGCAAGTTAAGAGAGATTACATAGAGGTATTTAAAAAAAAAAAGCAGAAGAGAGCAAGGAAACCTTAACAAAAAACAAAAGCAGTGAATGGCACGAATATCCCATCTCCAAATCTACCTGTCAAAGACAAAAGAGGAAAGTTACTTTCATCAGAGAAAGAGATTTAGGAACGATGAACAAAACATTTTTAGAAATTTCAATTAGACCACCCCCTACTCAAGAGCCTGATAT